TCCCCCAGTGTCCCAGCTGCCCACCTCCAAGCAAGGGCCCAGCCTGGGGCTTCAACCTCCTGGGACAGCCTGGTGACAGGGCTGCAGCTCTGACTTTGCTAAAAGACAACTTGGGTTGGAATGTCTCTGAGAAGGAAGGCCAGGGGAGCTCAAGAAATTTGCTCAAATATCCTCATTTAGCAACAAAAGTAACAGGCACCAGGCCAAGGGCTGAGCTGCAGGAAGCCCTGTAAGGAAATGGGCTTCAGGAAGGCAGAGGCCAGGGGAGGGAGCTGTCAGACCCAGAGAGCGTGGAGGAGAGAGGTAGGGATGCAAGGCTGCCGCACAGTGACCCGGGCCCTGGCTGCAGATGTCCGGTGTTCCCGCTGGACTTCAGCTCACAGGGCACCTGGGGGCGTGTGGGTGTGATACGGGGGACTGTCAGAGCAGAAAATGGGCCCACTGGTTGCCCGGGGCCACATATCTGTGAGCTCTCGAATGAAGGAAGCTAAGTGATGGCCTGATCTAGCCTCTCAAACAGGGCTGGGGAGGTAAAATGATTTGCCAAGTGTTGGGATCTTATTCACAGTGACATGACTGCCTCTTGCCTGGCAGCCTGAAGCCCTTGGGGTTTGTTCAGAGGCTTTGGGGCGGTTAGGATGGAAGGATGCAGAATGATCTGGGTCCTCCCAAGCATTGCTTTGGCGCTCCCTTTCATAGACACGTGCCATCACACATCTGCTTCGTGAACATTTCCTGAGGATTCGCTATGTGGGAACCAATCCCAGAATGAGACACCGGGAAGAAGGTGAAGGATAGAGAAGACTTGGCTCCTGAAATCCAGGTGTCAGCTGGGGCTGTGGTCCCGTCTGGCATGCTCAAGGGCCACCTGCTCCTTCAAAGCCTGCAGGAGACTCTCTTTCTGCAAGCCCAGTCCCTCCTGCGAGAGCTCTTGATTAGGTTAGGCCCACCCTGGATAATCTTCCTTTTTATTAACAGCAAGTCGATGGATGAGTAACCTGATCATGGGAGTGACATCTTGTCTCCTTCAGGGTCGGGCTCACACTCCAGGGAATGGGAGGGTAGCAGGCCTGTGCCGCAGGGGCTGAGACTCTTGGGGACCGTCTTGGACTTCTGCCTACTACAGCTCATCAACCCTCACCACCAGGCTGTATACCTCCACACAGTACTTCACCGGAAACCAGATTTGTTTGCCTAAGACACATTTCATGTCATGTGTCTCCCATTAAAGAATGTGCCACTGTCTCGACTTCCCTACACTAGGAGTCTGACAAAGACTCCTGGGCTAAAGGGACTTCTGTTCCCAGAGAGCATCAAAATATTTCAAAATCCCTCCTATAGTTCCTGAAAATCCTGTTTCCCTTGGGTCTAAGGATCCTTACCAATGACTGAGGGCCCAGGATGGAGTTCAGCTGCTGGTGTGGGTGCCCTGAGGACTGGGTGAGACTGAGCCGGGCAGCTGTCTTTTCTAGTGGCCAGCCAGCATGAGCCCTGAGCAGTCCCCCACTCTGAGCTCCTGCTGCCTGCCCCGCCCCCCCACCCCAACCCACCCCCCTGCATCTTAGAGGAAGTAGCATGTGAGCAGTAGAACTCCGCTTTAGGTTGGAATCTTCCTTAGTTGGTAGGAAAAGACCCATTTAATGGCATAGAAAAGTCGACTGGGGAGTGCTTGAGTAGAGCGTGCCAGTGACTCCTAGTGTGAAGCTCAAGTGTTGGTTTTTAGTCCCAACCAAATCAATGCCAAACCTCTTTGCCTGGCTTTCAAAGTCATCCCCTATTTAATGAAAAGTATCAGCGGTTTTATAAGTGAATAAGAACGAAGGAATTCAGTAAGGAATAAGGAATAGGAAATTTAAATAATATATCCATACACTAGAGTGTTATATATCCATGAAAGAACAGTACGATATAAATATTCCGTTGATATAAAAAAGATTTTCAAAATAAGCTAAATAAAAGAATCAGGTTTGAAAACAGAATATACAATATAACCCTCATGTATGTGCACACATATATATGGAAATGTGTAAATATTTATATACACACATTCACATAGGAAAAACATCTGAAAGGGTAAAAGGCAAAGTGTGAAAAAGAGCTAATGCTGTATAAGAAGAATGTGATTTTTTTTTCTTTTTATTTTCTAGTTTAGCGAGGCTGTAGTGAATATTGTTTTGTTCACTCAGAATATCACCCCTCTTCTTGTGGGGGACTGGTCGTCCTCTGACTCGGAATGTGTAGTTTGTGTACAAGCGGCCTATGCCACCGAGCGAATGAGACCTGAGGCAAGGCTTGTCTTCCGGAGAAGCAGATATGCAACTGGGGGGAAGAGAGGTGGCGACAGAAATGGGACGACTTAGTCATGCAGATGGTCACTTGGAAGGATACAGACCCAAAGAGAATGACATAAATTTCGAAGCGGGGAGGAGGTGCGGGTGTTGGTGGATGCTGGGGAGCGGGGGGGCTCTCCCCTGTGGTCACTTCAGTAAAGCCCATTTATCCTTTACCTGCGCTTGTCAAAGAGGTCTGAGGATGAAGACAAATTTCCTTGAGGGAGAACAAAGGCAAGCAACAAAGACTTGAGCACCTGGGGTGAGCAATGTCTCCCCCAGTGGACGTGGGAAGGAGTATCTTAGGCCACCACAGGGAGCCTGCCGTCCTTGCCTGAGGCATGCGAGTTCAGCGGGACCCCTTGTCTTTCCATGGTTGGAGACTAGACCCCAGGCGGGTCACCTCTCTGTACTGTAACGTAGTTCCTACATCCGGGAAACACGTTAAGTCATGTACTGGCTTTTCAAGGTCGTTATTTCAAGAGTACGTAACAAGCACTTGTCATGTGGCGGACACTGTGCCGAGCCCTGTGGATGCAGCGGCAACTGAGGCGCCCCTCAAATTCTGTGTCAAAGAAAGCATTAGAATTGTGCTTGGTGCTCCAAGAGGTGGGGGGGGCTGCACAGAAGTGGGGTGCGCGGAGAGGTGGGGCTGCTGAGACAGCGGAGGAGACTTCTCTGAGCCAGCCATGCTTACTAGCCTAAGACGTGAGGATGGAGAAAGTCACCCGGCGGAAGAGAGGTCGAGTCCAGCATTTCAGCAGGTGGAACAGGTCCCGCGGTCCATCGAAGCAGGACTCTTGCCATGTAACACCCCTCTGGGTAACCGTGGGATGTGACCTCAGGGGCATCTAACCCGAGTTTAAGGCATTTACACCTTTAAGGTGACGGTCAGTAAGAGGCATTCCTGACGTTCCTGGAGGGAAAGAGGCACGGGTAACAATCCCACATCTACCCTGTTGGGAGCGTCATGTACACTCTCTGGAATCCTCACAACCACTTTGCAAAACGAGGTCCTCAAGCCCCACCGTTTTGAGCCCAGGAGGATGAGAGGTTGGCTGATTCCCCCCACCCCCCGAGGGGGGGGGCGGGTACTAGGTGGTGAATGCGGCCAGGAGCCAGGCCTGCGCAGCTCAGGCAAGGCGGCAGCCACCTGGCCTCCCAGGAAAGGAAAGGAGCCACCAACGGGAACAGAAAATTGGACCCTAGGCCTGTTTGTGAAGGGTGCGTGCTGTTGGCTGTTGGTAACTGGGCAGTCTGGCCTCTTGAATCAGAACCTGCCCTGGACAAGGTGAGTGGGGGTGTGTGCAAGCACCTCGAGGGATAGGAAGCTGAAGGCTTGGCTCCAGCCTTGGAAGGCTGTCTGCAGCAAAGACATGTTTCCATGGCAGTGAGAAAGCTGGCTGGGGCCCCAGGGGTGGGGGCGGGGGGAGGAGTTAACATCTGAGCTGGGACCTCAGCCTCGCTCTCACCTTTCGGAAGTCGAGAGACGTCGGAGCGGCCCAGTACACTCCACTCGCACTCATTTTAACATGATTTCCACTTCCCAGTTTTTATCAAAATCCTCCTCAAAAGCTTTTCTTGTCTCTTTAATCTGAAACTAATCACTCTGGGATAAAATCCACTCCAATTTAATTCCAAATCAGTTCAAGACATCTCTTGTAAAATCAACTTCGCTGGTTCTCAGACACCGAATAAATGCTTTCAATGCCGTATTTCTGTTAGTCACTCCAGGGGTAGGGTAATGGATCAAATTTAGAGGCCTTTCAAAACTAATTCTTACACAGCTCTTTTGTAAACAACTTGAGTTTGTAAACTAACATTTTAAGTGATGTTGAATACTACACATTAAGGAAAAAATTCATACAGCTCTACTTTTCTTTCCCCTAATACTTCTATCATTCCTCTCTTTCTGACCTTTTCAAAGTTCCTGGGGTGGATGGTGCTTACACATTTTGGCTCAAGAATCCACCATCTGGGAAACAAATTATGCCCTGACATCTCCCCGGAGGACAGACCATATGTATGCGCTCTTCTAGGACTTAAACACGAACATGTGTTTCACAACCAATTCGAAATTGGTCTACGGTTTCTTCAGGTTAAATTGTAGCCCATTCATATTTTAGTTGTGACTCTGGGTAAAGCGCAGGCTACAAAGGACTAAAGACTTAATTTCTCCCCTTATGAAATGCTACTTAAGATCACTTCACACTTTAAAATTACTGAGGTTTTGCTGAATCAATGACTGTATTTCCAAATTCAGTGACTTGGAATTAAACTGATTTTGCTGTATTCCCAGAATCCCCAGAAATGTTTAGGTTGTCTTCAGAGGAAAAAAATTAAAAACCATACTTTCAGGACCAGTATTCATTTTTTGTTTTATGATGTTGGATTCCCACTTTTTGATTGTTTTTATGCTAACTTCTCTGGGACACGGAATATAGATTTAGTGGAACATACGGAAGATTATGTCAATGGCACACCAATGTATTAAAATATTAAAAATTTAGTTAGAGCCCCGTGTGACTGCTTCATAAACCACTCTAATGCTTATGAGAATTAACAAAAGTATTAACAATAACAAAGCAGAGGCTACTGTTTCCTAAGTGCTTAAGACAGGAGAAAAAGCAAACAGTAATGCCTAAATCCGTCAGTGTAAGTTGTAAGAAAATATATTTATTTTTCCATGACAATACTATGATAAAATTGTTAAATACATGCATTTTAAAAACAAACATAAGTAACATCTTTAGAGTTAACAGCCAAGCATACTAGTTTTATGTTTAAGGTGTCTTAGTAATAGGTTACTTATATTCTACGTTCTTGATATAACCATGTTCTCCAAAAGATATGGAAACTAAATTCTGAAATTATACGATGATATAAAATGTTCAAATTTTCCATTCTTACAGCAACATAATCTCCAAATTTTCGCAAGGCGGAAAACACTTCAGTTGTCATCTCTGTTAAGTGGAGTTGTTTTACTCCATATTAAACTAGGAATTCTGTGAATCAGAGTGAATCACACCAATATACTGCAATCTATAGTTTGCTTCCTCTAGGTGTGTTTTTAAAGGTTTCCTTATACGATTAAGCATGATTTTAGGTACAGAACATCACAAATGATAATTCGGGGTTAAACAAAGAAAGTCTGTAGTGGTAACATTTCAAGAAACGAAAATGGGACATTTTGGATGTGCAGTTTCTCCCTGTCTTTCAGCTACATTTGCACACACCTGACCAAAAAATTAGTAAACAGTTACTAGTATTTATATAAAAAAAATGAAAATATTTAACATACAACAACCCCTTTAAAAAGACACTCATTCTACAGACAACCTTATAAAAGACAAAAACTTCTATCTGTTCACAGTATGTGTATTTTGTAAACAGTAATTCACTATAATGCAATTTTGAGAGTAAAAAAATGGCAATTTCCTAAACGTGAAGACCTCTGACTTATAGCCAGCTAATGAGAGACAAGAAAAGGCAACACATTCCTTTGGGATAGCTGAGTATTTTTAAATGATTTTCAACCTTTGGACATACTTGTAAAGGCGGTACCATCTCAAATTTTGTATGTCTTTCTATCCAGGCCAATCTTTTTCAAGCAATGCTGAATTGAAATGTATTTAAGAAAAAGCCATGCTCCTTTTTGAGAAAATAATAGGAAAGCACAAACGCCAAGGTAGCACAGAATACCTACCCTTCCACAACAACGAACTGAATAGGTGTTTCTTTCTGTGTTTTGTCTTCAACTATTCATAACATATTAATCTTTTTCCAAAACATTATGTCGGAAGGAAAAAATTAAATAAAAGGGTGTATCATAAATAATGGGAAAAAGTTTTGGAATCAAACTGGGGGCCAAACATTTGAAACATTTTTTAATGAAAATTTAGTATTGTTTTGTATGATCGATTGCCAAAATACTACTGTTAAACCTAACAGTTAACTTGTCCATGTTTCATTGGAAATTGTATTACCACCTAGAAATCTTTCTGATGTCTTATAATGGAATGTTTAGGAGGAACAGGAAGTTCAGAAATTGAAAGTTACCCATTTTTAAAATGGAGTAATTCTGAAGGGAAGTACACTTTAAATGTGTAAGGAAATTCAATACATTTAAATAAACCATTCAACCAGGTATACAAAGTATTTTTGGCTTAAGGGCAGCATAAGGTCTTTGTTGTTAGTTGTTTGGCTTTTTTAAAGTTCAGATTGGCTAGTGCAAAGGAAATCTTAGAAAATATATGTAAATGTAATACAAATTGATTTCCTTATCAATGAAATATTCATCCCCCCCATCACATCTCTTAGTTTTTAGGGTGTTCAGTTATAGCAATAAAAAAGTAATGTAAGTTACTACTGTTTTGTATTTGGTTAATATTCAATCAGTGAAAGCTTACTTATTTGAGAGATTCTGAATTTATTTTTTCTATGGTTCTTCAGCTAGGCACTTGTAATGAAAACTTTCAGAAGGTTTCCCTCTTAAAACACTACTTTTAATTTTCATAAAAATGTTGCACAGTTAGAATTTATCTTGCATAGGTAAATTCTGTCTGCAACTTGGACACTTATAATTCAAAATATTAACATTCTTAATATAGGGAGAAACAAGCACACTCAAGGTTAAAAAGAACAGAAACCTGTCAATTCAGCATCATAATTGTAAGAATTTGAATATATTCTAGATCAAATCACATCCCGTGGAATTTTACCACACACACTACAGCCTGACATATCAATTAACTGAATGTTCTTCTTAATCCTCCATACAGGCACTAAAAATAGCTCATTTGTATCATAACTGGCATGAATATGATCATGTCATAGTTAAGACAAAGGCACAAACTGAAAAGAAATAAAAATCTCACCACCCTATCGAAATAAGAGGTTTAAATATTAATAGCCCTGGTACATAATCCACAAAGACATAAATAGACCAAATTTAAACCAAGTGATTTCCAATGATATTCTAAGGTCATGTCTAAAGGATGCATTTCCAGTAAGTTTGGAAAATTTCTTCTGTGAAAAATCTTCTGGATATGAAAGGCAGGATGGGCAAGGTACCATGGAATTTTGTTTCAGCGGGAAATACCAGTTTAAAATAAATGCTTTGAAGAAAGTTTATCAAGAGAATGCATGAGTCCTTATAATTAGTTAAGCTCACACATCAATGTCTTGTTGGTTTGCTAGAACAATGCTGGTTGGTACGAACATGTCCCAAGTTTTGTACCCATTAAATAAAAAGATGCTATGGATTCTCACAAGGAGAGAGGAATAAGATATCTAATGACGCTTTTGCCTGAGTCTTTCCCAAGTTTTCACTCAAACTGGAGCTACTTCTTGAGTAGATTTGAATCTTTCAGCCAATAGTCTTGGGCTAGATCCTCGTATAAACCACCCTTCGTGAAAATTGCACATTCTGGAATGGGACTCTGTCAATAAACAATCACTCGTTGAATTCCCACCATGTACCTAGTCTTCTCTGGAATTAGCTAATGATCTCACATTTGACTTTTGGGATGCCTAAGTTTAGACTTTCAAGATAAAAGGGCATTTTATAAAAGATGCAAATTTTAAATGGTTCAACACAGAAACAGTAAAAATTACTTTAGAATAAATAGAAAAAAAAAGTCTCATCAGATTATGTGCCTGAGCTGTCAAAAAATTTGAGATAACATTTTCCACATTTTGAGATGTTAGGGAGTACTTTAATTTCAAAATACTATAAACCTGATTTCAAATTCCTTTTGGAAGAAAATATTCCCTAGTCTCCTTCACTAACCTACATCTAATTATTCAAACGCAGAAAGGACTGCCAAGTTCTTTATACACAAACCATATGAAGACAATTAAGAAATTACAGGACTAATGATTTCCAACAAGAATACAAGTTGCCTGAAGTTTTAATAATGTGACTTTTACCACAGTTTCTGAGTGCAATAGTACTAGATGTTCTAAATGCAGTCCTTCAGATCCATGAGCCGTGAAAGTAATGCTGGTATGGAAAACGAGGCTGATCCTTTCACCCTTAACCTTTTCCATGAATGGCTGCTTGAGTCTAAGCTGTAAGAACACAGCACCTCTATCACCTAAGCACATAAACACACAACTATCCTGATACCCGGGGCCACAATCTCAAAGCCAGGCTTCTACAGTTCAGCACGTTGATGACTTCAACTGTACACGGGTACTAATCCATGCAGTACATAATGTACAAGCTCTACCTAAATGTCAAAATTCTAGCTAAGTCTTCTAAGAATATTTTTATACTAAATACTGTTTATCTAAGAGGGCCACTCACAAGAGAAATGCAGTCATAATGACCACCAGAATCTCCATTCCTCACAAGGGAAGCTTGATCTGAAATTGGTTTGTAAGTGAACTGGCTTATGCAAGATAGGAAAATGTGTCCTAATACCGACTATTATTAAACAGACATTGTGGGGCATAAATGAGTTCAGATACTTAAAGAGTTTTCTAACCAATGACTAGGCTTTAGTTGAGGAAAGAGGGATCTCCCAATTATTTTGCCAGTTGGGAAGGGCTGAAGGGAACACATCTAGCCTCCCCCTCCCAACTAGCCTTTAGTGTCCCATCCCCCAGGGAGAGGGGCTAAAATGACTGGACAGAGCGTGACCAACTACAAGACTGCTTTTCACACTTGAGCATGGTCCTGACATTGACAAAGAGTGCCTATTTACCAGGTGCCACAAACAACCTGATATGTGACAAAGGGAGGTGTCTGCTCTCCCTGTGTTGAGGCTGCCCCCACATGACCAGGTAGGGCAGCAGGGGCGAGGAGGGGGGGGCGGGAGGTAATGACTTTGGATTTGCACAGAGGGTCTGTCTGTCTTCAACTCAGTGGGGAAAGACAAACCACCTGCTTTGGCCTCAGCCCTAAACCACATACTTGTAGGCATATAGCACGTTACAAAGAGCTTGCCCAGTCTAACAGTGTTGCTCCACTTCCCATTCACCTAGTGATCGCTGTGTATGGAACTCCAGGGGAAGGTGAGAGGTGAGCAGCACTCTGACCCTTTCTCATGCAGGAAAAGCACTGAAGTCTTGGAGAGGGTGAAAGGACTCAAGAGCCCACTGATATTCACCGTAAGCCAAACAAATGAGTCATTATATAGGTTAGAAAGGGCACCGGATCCAGATGGCCACAGCTGCAATGCATATATGCTGATGACAGAGATCCAACAATTGCTTCTGGCCTTTCCCCCATTCTCAGTTTAGTGTAGCTCAGACCAATAAACTTTTACCTTGGCCAACACTTATCTAAAGAGATGAAGTCCAGGATCCATTGGTTTCAATGGTGAACAAGGCAGGAGCTGGGGGCAAGAGGGGGGGATGGAAATGACAAGCTTCAGCAGGGAATGCAGGCAGCCCCAGGTCTGAGTGTCTGGGGTGCAAGCTGAGGAGAGGAGCCCAAGAGGATAAATAAAAGCAGCAAACTGTCAGGGATGGCTCTGGTTTGAGACATTTTTCATTGTTGAAAATCTCTAGGAGCTATTCCATGGTTTTAACATATACTAATTGTGTACATAACTAGTTCTGTTTCATTCCACGCGTCCATATATCATGAAGCTCAAAAATTTAGTTGAATTCTAGCAATTACCATCAGGATTCAGTGAGTACCCAAAGAGGTTTGCCCCTTGTCACCGTGTGGCTTTTTTCCATGACATGGTTTTTATAAAGAAACATGAGGACCTAGAAAAAAAGGATAACCAATCCATTATCACAGAACCTCAGATGATTAAATAAAGAAAAGAAAAATAGGCACATCCTGATGTATTCAGGTATTTCCAATTTTTCTGGTGCTTTGCCTTAACTCTCCAAAGACAAAATACATAGACAACCTACGGGTGGGGGAGATGTAAGGTACACTTTTTAGTTTATTCTGCTTTTCCAAAACCCACATTCATCCTAGACATCACTTACGGAAAGCAAGGGCAGGCGGGGAGGCTGTGAAGACATGCAGTCAGGGACGGCTCACACAGCAACCACCGCACCTTTAACACGGGCACGCCCACCCATTCCAACGGACCTTGCCACAGCTCGCATGCAATAGCCCTTGAGGAACTGTTCCTGTAGGAAGCATGATCTTTTCAGTTTTAGATTTAAACATTTGAGGACTGGGTCAAATAGTCTAGACTGATGATCATTTCACAAGGAGAAACTGCCAAAACGCCTGATCAGGAGGAACCTTTGCTACGAGGAGTCAAAGGTCACCACTGCCCGGGTGATTGGAACTCTGTGACACGGCGTTCTCGGGAGGCGCTGAAGCCGGTCCGAACAGTACAAAGAGTTAATGCAGCGAGCGTCTGTGTAGGAGTCACCTCAAATAGTCAAATCACTGCAATTCTAGGTTTATTGGTAATATTGGATTGGCTCCTATATTTATAAAACTGACACTGTGTCACAAAAAAACAAAACAAAACAAAAAAACCCCCTCAGATCTCCAGTCTTTGAAATTTCGGTCTTAAATATTAGGGCAACCAACTGCAATAAGGGAAGTTCGCATGCAAGCTACAGAGTAAGGGAATGGTCTGCAAAACCTCCCAAAGCAAGACAACATGATTCTAATTTGGGCTGGTCAGTGTCACGCTCATTTTCAAAGTTTGTACCCCTGAGAAAACTGTTTGATAACCATTATACAGTAGGCATGGAAATCAGCATACTTTATCAAACAAAACACTAAATAGCTGTCACTACATTAGAAATTATATTAATTTTTTGTAAGTGCTGTGGATAGAGGAGACTAATGTTGAAAGTTCTGAAATCTGTGCTTGGTTTTCGTCTAGAATGGAGCAAGGATCAGGCAAATAACCATCATCTGTTACTCTGACATTTTTCTCCCATGCCTGTAAATCAGCTTGCGATTCCATAAAGCATCCATATGAGAAAACCACTAGCAGAACAGAACACGCGGCTGGGGGACTTGTTTTGCATGTGTGGACCAGACAGGATTAGCCACGAAGGGCTTCCTGAAGGTAGAGCACGTGAGAATTCTTTGGCTCCAGTCACGGATTGCTCCAAGACTTGAGCTGCATGGACTGAATGTCTGGGTTACTCTACTTTGGCTGTGAGACTACACTAGGTGTACATGAACACTTGGTGTGCCTTGCGCGCAGTGAGGTCCCCCTCGCTAACAGTACTTCACAGGATCCCTCCAAGATGCGCAGTGCTGGCCTGGGAACGCCAGAACGGAGAGCTTGCTGAGATGGCAGACTGAAGTGACACGGTGACTCTGTTAGTCGTTGGGTTTGTTCTGAAAAAAGTTTGTAAAGGACCACCCTCCCCCATTCGATTTTGGAGAGTCTTCATCTTTAGGAGGAATCAAAAACTGTCGGGAGTTAATGGAGCAGGGACTTCCAAAAGAGACAGTTTCACTGTTGCTGTCTGTGGACCTGGGAGAGTCTGGAGATACTAAGCTCCAAGTATTTACATTGGCCTGGGGTCTGTAGCCTGCAGTTGTGTCTAAGTCGTCCTCCGCCACGAGGTCTCCCACAGCAGCAGGGACGGGGAGGTGCATTTGTGGCTTATAGCCGGCCCCCCCGACAGGGTCGTTGTCTTGGTCTCCCTCTGGCTTCGCTTGGGGCTGGTACATAGACTGGATATCGATGTAAACGACCTGAGAGGTCCCTCCGGCTTCATCGGCGCCCGGGGTCGGCGTTTCCTCCTCAATGACAGGGGGGCAGTAGGACACAACCACGTGGTTCTCGGGTTCTGCATCAGAGCTTTCTTCTGGCCGCTCAGCTACCGGAGACATTATTTCTGTGTCTTCTATTTTTGGAACTGTTGATCGAGTTTCCAGAACCTCAACATTATTTGGGGTACAAGGATTCATTTCCAATGTTTTGAGAGGACTGTTTCCCTAGAAATAAATTATAAATCAATGATTAAGAAGAGTGCTAAAAGCTGCTGCAAATGCCCTTCCTACAAAAAGGGGCATTATCTCAAATATTTTTCTCACAGCTACTTAACAAAAATGAGTCTCTACTATTCTGTAGTGCATACTAGAACAAAGTTACTTTTTTTAAAATTTTTAAATTTAATTTTATTTGAGAGAGAGAGAGAGAGAGAGAGAGACAGCGAGAGAGGGAACACAAGCAGGGGGAGTGGGAGAGGGAGAAGCAGGCTTCCCGCTGAGTAGGGAGCCAGATGCGGGGCTCCATCCCAGGACCCCGAGATCATGACCTGAGCGGAAGGCAGATGCTCAACGACTGAGCCACCCAGGCGCCCCCAAAGTTACTTTTTTACATATCAATATGTTCCCTGCTATTAACAGCTGTGGAAAAAATGAGCAATGGTAAAAACACGTTAACATTCATCAGTGCAGAAGTTCAGCAGATGTTAAAGACGGCTCTTTGCTCAATACATTGTCTGCCGGGTGATATTTGCACGTTAAAAACTTCTCCCACAAGACTAAAAAAAGGAAGCCAGTACTAAAAGATAAACATAAGAAAAGAAAGGATTACCTCACAGACACTCTTTTGAAACTGTAGAGCTTTACAATTTTCTGGATTTGGAATATCAGGGTAGAAGGTTTCTTTAATCCTTTAAATAGAGATGATTAAGTACATTTAATAATCATGATTATCAATCAGACAACAAATAAGTTAGTAAATCATTGGGCTTATTTTGAAATTTCATGTGACGCTTCAGTGAACATCTGAGACAACAATGCAAGACCATTTTCAGTGTGATCAGTCACTAAGCTCTCTGTACAATGCACCGAGAGGCTCCTATCTGAAAACTACAAGCAGTACTTCTATTTCTAGAACCACAGTATCTTATGGATCTTATGAAAATGGAGGCAAAGGATTCAAATGGTGATTGTGCTCTCAGGTCAAAAGTACAACAGGGTCACCGCTCATCTAATCGAATGTCCAGAGTGTGGTGGGGTCATGCACGGTCCAGTACTTCAGGGGGCAGTACTGGACCAGCAGCAGTTCTCTGCTGCTCCTAAAAGGGTCTGGACTCTGAGGGGAAAAGGCTACTAATCATGAGCAAAAATGAAATGCAAACAAAAAGGAGATTTGCTCAGTGCCATAGCATATGTATAGCTGTTAAAAAGTTTAATATTTGAAATTCCTGCAGGAAAAAAAAAACCAATTTTGTTAATCTAAGTCTGAAATGCTCTAGCTTCTAAACTCTCTCATTTTGTCTTTTGTATTAAGATCATTTTTTTAAAATGTGATTTTTCGTAATGAGACTATGGTCACCAAAACAGGGTATTCTATGGTTCTAAACTATTACTACGTTAACTTATAAGCCAGGATTACTAGAATACATTCTCTTCTTTATCACAAAGGATGGCACTTTCAATGCCAGTGAGGGCCGTCTATACGTGAACACAGCCATCTGCCCCAAGCCCAGCCCAGGATGGCTCCTGCCAGCAGACCCTGAGGTATTCTCTCCCAATGGGTCCTGGCTCACCTCCTCCCCTCCCCTCACCTCACCGCCTGCCTCTCTAGCTTCACTCAGACACACAGTCCTTCTCACTGTCTCCTGATGACCAAGCTCTTTCCAATTTCTGGGCCCTCACAGGAGCGATTCTCTCTCCCTGGAATACCCTTTCTCCTCTCCTTACCCTGTGGTAAATGGAACTCCCATAGGGAAGATGTGGTTGGCCACCTCCAGTGACATGGTTCCCCCTCTTATTCCCCTCATGGTGCCCAGTGACCTTCCTGGTACACACATACTTTGTAAGCATGTGTTTACTGGATGATTACGGGTTTAATGTCCACATTTCCCCACTATGCTCAATGTCTGTAAGGATCACGCTTATTTAGTTCACCCACTGTATTATTCTTCATGTGGGAGGAGTCATTCATATTTGCTAAATAAATGAGTAAATGACAATCTTTTCTAAATAGATCACCAGGACGAGTGTGATCCTAATCAGTAACCTTGCACATAGCTATTGCCATATTTATGCCTGTTAAGTATTTTTAGTACATCTGCTATACTTTAAATCATGAGTAAACACAGGAGAAAGTTCACCTTTTACTTTATTACTTTAAAAACCTTTCAATAATTCTTGCTTAATATTAAATCCAGTATTAATTCAGACTAAGCCAACATTTTTTACCGACTAGTTTCAACCAAGTACTTCCTTCTTAACTCATGAAGTGAATAATCACGCTCTTCAGAACACAACAGCAAGAGGAAATGCAGGTATCATTACCATTCTCGTTTCCGGTAGCAAAGGATACTCGTCACCACTCCCACGATGACAGCCACTGCCACTGGTATGAGAATGGCAATAATCAATCCCACAGCTGAAAAGAGAATATTGGATATATTCAAATCACCATTTTAAGCAGGACATACAGAATAAATTCGTATTAGAAGATACTTAAATTGATAGATTATTTACAGAAAAAAAAATCCTACCTGCTCCAGGGATACTGAAAAACTATTAAAATATGAACTCCAAGCATTTTAGTAATTTTTACACTAGTACTTAAATTCTTCAGAACAGGGCTGAGCGCTATTGACACGTGAGGCCGGATTCTTCTTCCCCGTGTGTGGGGCTACCGTGTGTACCGTAGGGAGTTCAGCCGCAACCTTGGGCTTCCACCCACTAGGTCCCAGTAGCACCTCACAGTTCTGAGATCCAAAACTGTCACCAGACATTGCCAAGTGGCCCCTACAAGGCATAATGGCCCCCGGCTGAGAACCATATCCTCATGGTGCTTTATTTAAGTGTGTGTGTGAAGTCCAACTCGGGGCTAGAGAATATGGCGTGATCCAACTCAAGCTCTTCACTGCAGACAGTCAAGCCCATCTTCCCTACTCTCCGTCTCAAAGTTGTGAATGCTGGGGTTTATCGTTTTTTAAAGGCTATTTCTTCCACTCCTCCCTGGATATGTTAAAAATCACATTTAGAATAGGGCAAGAAAATGTTAAAGTGGGGGGCACCTGGGTGGCTCAGTTGGGTAAGGGTCCGACTCTTGATTTCAGCTCAGGTCATGATTTTGGGGTTGTGAGATGGAGCCCTTCATCGGGCTCCCAGCTCAGTGGGGAGTCTGCTTGAGATTCTTTCTCTCCTGCTGCCCCTCCCCCTGCTTGCACACACACACACACTCTCAATAAAATCTTATTTAAAAAATGTTAAAGTGGGTCAGCTTTATATAGATTCAACATGAATTTAGAACTCCGGACTTAAGATGTATCCTTCATGCATTAATTTCTCAAGTACTCTTAGGAAACAGCTTCAAATAACTGACAAGAATAAACACGAACTCATCCCGCGGCCTATTTTAACACTGCTGGCTACCTGCTATATACATGCAACAACACATGAAATTTTTAAAAAGGGGGTTCCTACAACATAAGCAAAACTTGCTAAAACCTTATACATTTAAGTACGGAAAGCACCTCAACGGCAATAATTAACTTACAATTTTCCTTCGTCACCACAAACATGCTCTTCTCTGGGCCCATGCCACCATCTGTATAGGCTCGCAAGACCAGATGGTAGCTTGTTTTACCCTGAAGATCAGCAATTCTCAGTGTCTTCTGGGACAGGTCAGTAATATTCTTAACCTTTATGTCGGACCGACCTATTTTTAAAGGGAAGATTATTATTACTCATCTCTACACCATTTTTTAAACCCCTATTCATATCTCTTCCACCACATCCCTTTCAAATGAGTGGCTGCTGGCTACCCTCATGGCCAGGGCCTGTGAGTCAGCCAGACCCACGTCCAAGTTCTACCTCTGCCAGTTAGTAGCCGTGTGGTCTGGACCTAGTATGGAAATTACTCGGAACTTGAGTTTCTCTAACCCATGACACAGACCATCACAACTTCCCTCCCTGAGGCTGTGTGAAGTTTTCATACATTCTCTAGAATAATCCTGGCATATGGCAGATAATCAAAGTCCCTTCTCTTCCTCGGGGCATGAAAGTGCACCACCACCCGCTGAGGCGGGGTTAAGGCCTGGGGCCCATCCTGCCCGAGTGGAGTGAGAGACCCGAGGGAGAAAAGCGCACCGGAGTTCTCAAATGAGCCGCTAGCCAGGAAGGCTTTGAATCATTTCAAAAGAAGTATGAAGAATTGTTTAAACTACTGTTTTAAAGTTTTAATCAAAATAATGGAAGACAGTAGTTTGAAAAACTGACAGCACTAAATGCTAAATGGCTAACACCACAAAGTAGCAGCTCCCTGCTTGTAACTTCCCCGCCAAACCCCATCACCTGTTTCTTTGGGTATTTAACTTCCGTGTTTTGAGATAAACTCACACTGGCAGTGCCTTGATTTAAAACTTTTAGACATTACGTATTGCATGTCCTACAAAGAAGGTGCAGCTTCGGTGTTCTCAGCACCCCGCCTCCCTCTCATCCCACATCATTCACAGACACACAATGTTTGGGAAATGCAGTGTTTACATTACTGTGATCATGTAAGTGTGGATTCCTGCTAGACAAATTGCTTGGTCTGCTCATGTTTCCCTTATTTTTCTGTTGTTTTAATTATGTTTTTTCCTCATTTGCTTAATGTACCAATCTCTAATTCCTCCCACATCCTCCTGTGAATATTCAATGCGATTTTCCACATGGCCCAACGCAAGAAAATCCCAGTGCCGTGACTGGCTGCCCAACCCCTGCCCACACCCCCCCAGGGCCCCGTCCCCAGGGTATCCGCTCCAGACCCAGGCCTTCCCAGCTCCTGCCCTCCCAACGTCCCTGTCCTGCCTGCTTCCTCAGGCTGACCCACTGTTCTAGAACCAGCGCCTGAGAAGGGGACACGGGGAAGGAAGTATCTGCAGCTCGACGGGTCTGAAAATGCCTTCATTCTGCTCTCACACTGGCTGCCACTGACAGAATACAGACTGCTAGGCTGAAAAGAATTTTCACTCAGTATCCTGAAGACATGGCCATGCTATCTTCCGGCATCTGCTGGGCTGCTGAGAAGTCCGAGGCCCCTTCCATTCCTGAGGCCTCGCACTTGAGCGACTTTTCTCTGTTTCTAGGACTTACTCTTTATGTATCAGGTGCTCAGGAAATTCATGACAACCTACCTTGGTGTAGACTGTTTTTCTATTTATCTTACTGTGTACTTACTAGGTGTTTTTACTCTGTGTATCCTGGTCTTTAAGTTCTGGGAAATATTCTTACACTCTTTCTCTGGTTAATTACATTCTTACACTCTTTCTCTGGTTAATTTCCTTCTATTCCCCCCCCAACCCCCCGCCCCGACAGAACCCCATGACAACACAGGTCTCCATGTACTCCAACTTCCTCATCTTTCCACTCCCAAGTTTTCTCCTCAGCATTTGTCTAATTTGGGGAAGAATTTCTCTATCTCCCATTTAATTTCTCTATATTCTATTTAATTCTTTAAAATTTTCTTTGATTCTATTTTTAATTTTGATGAGTTCTTACCTATCTTCTGACTGTTCTTTTTTATAACATCAGGTCCTTTCAATAAATACAGGGAATCGCAACTATGTGAGGACAGTTTTGTTGTTTTAAATTTGTTTCCCTACGCTGAATCTGTTTTCTCTAATTTCTTCTGGTTTCTGTCCCCATGTTAGAATCTTTCTCAACCATGTGGTTATCCCTGGCTGCTAGTCACGGTTAAGAGTGAGCCACTGGAAGGTCACTGTGAACGGGTGGAGCTTACTGGTTGGTAGGTTTCACTTACCACTGGTGGGGAATGACCAGGTCAATTTCTGGCCTTTCACTGGGACAGCGCCCCAATATCAGCACCTTTGGTGTCTTTCCTCAGGAACCGTTTTCTTTTTTCCAAAGAAAGATCCTCTAACCTCATCTGGGGAAATAGGCCTAGCTGAAGATGTCCTATTAGCTTCCATGAGAGGAAGGAGGGGCAGGGAAGGTCACACTGCTCACTAGGGTGTCCCCCTCTTTGGAGGCTCTCTGGTTCAGTTTGTCTTCAGGCAGGGGAGCGAGCACTCAGGTTAGCTGTATGAAGCTGGTGTACGACTTGGGGGTTCTCACTGCTCCTTACAGACTTTCAGTCAGCCCTCACTGTTCAGCCCCTATCAATCCTAACCACCTGCCTCCAATCCTGGCCCACACAGGGCGAGTCAAATTATTTCTCGCTGAAGCCTGAATGTCCACCTGGATTTCACCATCCTCCAGGTCATCTGTCCCACTCCATCACCCCCAAAATGTCCAAATGTGGTGTACTCCTGTCTGATTCTCTTTGTTTTTGTGGCTTTATGCTTTTTTTTTCCTCTTTAACTTTAGCGACCAATCCATCATGTCTAAAATACTAGAATTTTAACTGGTAGAAGTGTAAAATTTCTGAACATCTGGAGAAAAATTTCACTAGACTCTGGATATTTGTAAAACTTTATATGTAGGATTTTTCTCATTCACAGACAACTGTGAAGGTTCAGGTAATGCAGACCTTAGTGGTCTGGGGGAGGGGCACATCTAATGCCACTGCGCAGGGAAGTGCCTTAGCTGTCAGCAACTGCGTGCAGCATTGTGGTCTCAGCTTGTCCGACGGGCATTAAATAATTAAAATGTTTTTTTTCTGAGGTGAGGTCATTAAGGGAAATGAGAGCTCTCAAACTGAAAAGATGATATGCTTGTGTTATGTGGCTACGTATAGGAAACATCTGACTCCCAACAGAAATATAATTTAGGGAAAAGCCAGAAGTCTGCATAAACACTACTGTATTTGTAAATCTGAAAATTCTCTATGGTCTTTTGGACATACGCTTACCAACTGTCAAGGACTGACTGTACCTTTAAAGATCTAATAGATGCACATGTCCCCAGTTAAGTCAGTTAAGCTTGCCAGCTCATCAAGTCCACGGCTAACTGTGTGGATGGCTCTTTGTCAGATAATAGCAAGGCTCCTGAGCCCTTCTTTGGGTTCCTGAGCTTTTCCCCTCCATTATTAGAATTTTTTAGAAAGACTTTTTTTTTTTTTTTTTTTAAATAACCTATGTAAGATGCTATTTTATGCATCATACAAGATTGCTAAGAGACGCTCTCTGTCCTACGGGGTTTATAATCAGTCTGCAAAATAAATAATTTAAATGAAAGATGGTACATGTCATTTATCACATACTAAAATTCTAAAATTCTCATATTCATACATTTTCATTTACCTACTTTTCAGTTTTAGAAACCGGTATTACATTACTCAGCAGCACTTCCTTTTCTTTCCTTGTTTTTTGTTTTTGTGTTTGTTTTCTGTCTTTTTGTGTGTGTGTATGTGGGAGGGGGGTTAATGAGAACTTCTAGAAAATACTGTTCTTGCTGTAGTGACTTACCTGATTCCAAACCCCTTATTTTAGATGTGTCTCTCTCTCCTTTTTCAAAGTAAAATAAATATCCTCTTAAAAAGCCTCTGAGCTCTTCCACAGGAATATCTTCCCATTTTACTAATATGGAATCTGCGGATGTATCCTCAACAGTAAAATCTGGCGCAACAATCGGAGCTGTAAAGGGAAAAGCGTCCACAGCTAAAGGAGAGCTTACGGGTACAGAGTAAGACACCAACATTTAATGAGAGTCCTAGCCTCAAAAATAACTGAGTCTGGGATGAGACCTTTATTCTCTAGTAAGTCACACTTTCAGAGATGCTCTTACAAGCCCTGCTCCTGTGAAGCTCACACGCTAATGACCAGAGACACACAGGGGGGGTGTCACAACATACACACCCGGGGAAGCAGCCTCGGCAAAATCTGTAAGCAGCTACTCACACAGAATCGTGTTTCCCCTCTGCACACAGTCTTGAAGTTAATGGTTTTATTAAACGTGTTGAAGTGCAAATTAAGTCTCTTTGACATCAAAATTAGGATTTCATTTCCTCAATGACAACAGTAAAATTGTGAAATATAAACATTAAAGAAATGAAGTTTATGTAATCACGAGTAATTTTATCATACAAATTACTTTTCCTTCCTTGAACTAAACATGTCAATTCAATCTATTTTTAGAATTCAATCTTGCAACTGCTGTTGATTTCTAATTTCTCATGTTACCTTGGACTCTAAGAAAACTTACCCACTTAACTTACCCAGTTCTTCTATATATCCAATTACAGAACGTAATAACTGATATCCTTGATTTCTGCACCCATACAGAAAAAAACTGTATCTTACACCTGGTCGAAACTGATCTACAGGAGGAACACAATTAACTTTCGTAAGTACATATTACTACGAACATCAATTTTTAGAAATATCAAACTTATAGTCACTTATTCTGAAATTTCCAAAGCTAGCTGTTTTCTTATCATAAAAAAATACAGCCATATTTTCAAAAATTGATAAATATTCAGAGTGAAAAATGACTAAAGAAAAATTAAACAAATTCACTTCTGTTGTAATGAACAGTATTATAACATGATGCAGCCTTGAAGGGAGAAAACAGCAGTCAAGGCTTTCATTTTGTTTCTTTAAATCAAGCAACGAAGACTTCTTTCCAGATTTGGGCCAGGGTCAGTTTACTAGCCAATCCCAGGTCCATGTCAAGCCTCTGGAAAGCCCTTCCTGCCCTAGCCAAAAAGCAGATATCAACCTTTCCACTCTACCTTGCTGCTTCAAGGTGTGCTGGCCCATAAAGTCTGTTTCTCTATACAGCTTTGCTACTTAGTGCCCCTGAGTTAATTTCACAAGACACGCAAGAGAAGCATCTTAACTTCAGTTCAAAAAGCCCCTTTTGAAATACCTTGACACAATGCAATGTGTGAAATGTTGGGAACACAAAGGTGGACACAGTGTGGCCCATGGCCTGGAAAGGCTGGCAGAGTACTGGGGAGACAGATGAATGGGGGTAACCAAGACACAATGTTCTAGACTACAGGGACCTATCACAGGCTGGGGCACCTTTACTGTGGGACCAAATGAGCCTAAGAATATCACGAAAGGCCACCAAGAAGTGACATCTGAATAGGGCCTTAAAAGGCAATGAGGAGCTCATCAGTGGTGGTCCAGGAAGAAGATACTGCCTGGGGGGGAAATGGCAGCATGTGGGATTGCATTTAATTAGTGGAAAGCAACTCTTCTGGTGTGGTGAGCACCAGTTCTTCGATTACGTTCCCACGGAACACCAGTGGTTCTACAAGCTCAAAAGTGAGATGGTAAACCTCTAAAATCAGTGTAGCTTTTTTCTTTGGGGACAGGCATGCCTGAGGTTATTTTAATCTGCATGTAGGTTAGTAAATCTGTACCTAGTGTCACAATGAAATAGATCAATATTCTATAGGGTTCTGCTACCTTAAAAAGAAAAAGAGCCCGAGTGGGGGTTATGACATTACTTCTGTGTTTTGAGGTCATAAATAGGACAGTTGAATGAATAGATGACTAGGTTGAGAAAGGGACGAGAAGTGTCTCCTGTGGCCACGTGCTATCCCAGCAGCAGTCAATAAGAGAGACAATTCCTGGCCTCCTGAGGCTCTGAACTGTTTTGAATTTGAATCCTGGTGCTGTCACACGCTGGTTCTATGAACTTGGGCAAGTCACCTGACTTCTCCGAGCCTTTCTCAACCACTGTGGGGACTCTGCTCATCTGCCGAGCCTTTCTCAACCACTGTGGGGACTCTCCTCATGTGCCGTGACACGGGAGGTTCTCCCTCTAATCCTGCAGGTCTCAAAGCCCAGGTGAGAGAGGTGGAAGAGGGACGAGAATTCGTATGGTGTAGACGAGGCTGGCATAAGGCTTAGGCAGCTACAGGTGGGGCGAGTGCAAAGGGGAGGTGCAGGAGAGGAGGGTGGGGTGTGCCAGGCACCCTGATAAGGGAGGTAGGCTCTAAGAAAGGATAAAGAGACCACCAAGTATTTCAAGTAGAACTGGCAAATAATCTAAACCCACGTGGAGTAATCTACTGGATGGGACTTATCTTCACCATTTGATGGTGAAATAAGTGGGTGGCACTGGCTCCTGGGAGAGAAGTATCAGCAGCTGCTTGCTCTCCTGAGCTTCACCCTGACGTGAGGGAGAACCAGGACAGAGGAAGGACCCTGAGGAGCATCACCACCAAGGCGGCAGGTTCCAGAATTCCCAAGGGTAGAGGCACGAAACACTCATCAGCTACTCAGAAGGAACAATGATGGTGGAAACTGAGCTGTAATATCCAAGGACCAGGCGGCATTAGCCTGCAAGTTACTACATACTCTTCATGGCTGAACTTTAGGCTGCTCCTAGCAAAAGCAGCTTACCTTACAGGACTCCTGGCTTGTCAACAGTCAGGCACTGGGCACTGTTCCCCCCGCCCCACCACATACTGTGCCCCCTGCCACACGGATGCCCCTTGTCCGACATCAGTGGTGATGGGAGCAAGGCCTTTGTTCTCGGCTCTGCCCAGTAACCTGCGCTTGGGCAACAGAGGCCAAGTACGAGGGGTGAGACCACACTGCTTAGGGCTTCATGGTCTTCTTTCTTCAGGAGCATTTCTCCATTGCTTTGTCTCAATCTGTGGTGCTACTTAATATTCCACTTTATAGATACACTGTAATTTACTCATTTTCCTAGTTGCTATTTGGGTTTCCAATTTTTGTGATTATAAATAACACTACGGTGAACCTTCTTAGATGCAATCCTTTGTTGCTCTCTGATTATTTCTTAGAATAAATTCCTAGACAAGTAATTACTAGATTAAAAAGATACAAACCCTCTGACACACATACTGCTACAAAGCACTTTCCAGAAAGGTCAAACCAATTCACACCCACTCCAGTGGTTAAGGGGGAAATGATCACTCATTATACCCAGTCACACCATGTATTGCTCTTTTAAAAATATTTTGTAACAGCTTTCTGTTGGCAGAGAGGCCTTCTGAGAGGCAACTATGAGTTCATCTTACCAGATGCTATTACAGTTTCAGTGCTGTTTGAAGGGACTTTTTTCCAGTCCATAAGGCAGGGTTCAGACCGAGATGAGTTACACCATTTAATAACATAGTCACAGGTCATATTGGGATCGTAATTCCAAGTGAGGAGAATTCCATTTCCCATTCCGACAGCCTGCTCTACTTTGAGATCATCTTCAACAAGAAATAAGTACAAGTTACTTGTGTTAAAAACAATAACAGAAGTAAATCTCATGAAAATGGGCAGGAGTTAGAAAAACTACTTCATTGGACAGAAATTTTAAGAGTGCTCAAACTAGATAAACCTCTAGCAAAGTTTAGAAGTGTTGCTCTGTTATTTTTCCTATAAAAAGGTAATTACCTGGATGTACAGATAAACTCAGAAGCTGGAAAAAGTAATGCAAGGGCACCTCGGACAGGTGGTGATGCAGTAGGCTGGGGTGTACGGGTCAGGGCCAGGACGGATGGGGCTGAGGGCGTGCGGGCAGTAGGGAGGGTAGCAGCACAGGGGGCAGGCAGGTGCAGAGCATGAGTGGCCAGTCCCAATCTCTCTTCTCATCACCCACTACGGATGTGAGCTCTGTGAGAGCGGGCAGGGGCCTGTGCCTGCAAACCCAACCCCGGGGCCAGACCTACAGAGTAGGAGCACGCTAACGAGTGGTGAGCAAGTGGATGGACCAGCCCTTCTCTTCCTCTCAAGCCTATGGGTAGGCTGAAGGGGCTCCTGGAGACAGGCTGAGGAATGGAGAATCGGCTGACATGCAGCGGGATCAAAAGCTGTGGGACCAGGGTTGCCTGGGTGGCTCAGTCGGTTAGGCATCTGCCTTCGGCTCGGGTCCCATTCCAGGTCCTGGGATAGAGCCCCGTGTTGGGCTCCTTGCTCAGCGGGGAGCCTGCTTCTCCCTCTCCCTCTGCCCCACCCTTCCCCGCTGTGCTCTCTCTCACTCTCTCGCTCTCGCTCAAATAAATAAATAAAATCTTAAAAAAGAGTTGAAAAGATACTTGGAGGACCCTAACCAGACCCACCAACTTTTCTTCCTTTAGGAGTGGGTAGTCATAGGCAGGCGCCCCCATTTTGGGACAGGACAGCAAAATGGCGGGGGGGGGGGCAGGGAATGACCTGGAAGAGGAATGACCTGAGAAAGAAGGCAGAAGTGGCTATGGATTAAATATTATGGATTACTGGTAATACATAACATTTAAAGAAAGGCACTAATTTTAAAATTGCACCACGGTGACTTTTTAAAGCTTATATTGAAGATCTAATTTAGACTTCAAAAAGAATTTTTGATCAATAAAGGATTCCTATTAATAAAGAATGTCTTGTCGAAAAGCTGCCATTAGAAATACGTATTTTTTTTTTCCTGCCTAACATTTGTAGAACAGCCCAGCTGATAAAGCATCAGCTCCCGTGGTCTTAGGAGAAATATATGAAAACGGTCCTTAAATAAATGGCTGAAACATTTCTTACTAAGAGTAATATCCACCACCACAACTCTCCAACACTATGCACTAAAGTAACTGGGTACACTTATTTTATCCATCAGCGCAGAGTCTGGAGTCATCCCTAAGGATGAATAACTGCTCTCAATGAATTCTGGACATTAATCGGTTTGTTCCTCTTTATGGATCAGCAGCAGCAGGGGATATGAGAAGAGAGCTGACCTTGTAAGAGCAAGCGAACACCCCTTAAAATGTTTCACTTTAATTTCCTGTTCTTATATACATTATCTTAAGTACTCACCGTTTGGAATTTCCATACTAGCTATTTTAGAAGGTGGCGATGAGCCAACAGAATTTTTTGCCACCACACTGATGATGTAGTCATTCTTATCAAGTTGTAGTTCTGCCTTGTGTTGAGGATCAGGGATCTCAGAAAGGGACTGTGTCTCCTCATCGAGTGAACATGATACATTATAGGAAAGTATTTTCCCATTCGCTTCATTAATGGGTAAAGGCTATGAGAAACAGAAAAATAAATTCTGTCAAGAAACCTGCCAAAACCGGCCGTGTGATGAGGCAAGACCATCAAGTCTAAACCAGGCACCGCCTCAATCATGACAAGGTTAACAGCAGAATCGAGGGAGTTGTGAACAGTGTCAAACACTGATTTAAGAGGCACTGAGGCCAGGACCGATCAGGGAAGTGATGCTGAAGAAAAACTATACTTACCCTAAGCAGTAAGAGCACAGAGAAATTTAAAAATTAAGAAAATGCAAACCAGTCTTTAGCCTCCCATTTTTCAGAAGCAAAACAAAAAAAGTAACAGGAATGACTGCTCTATCAAACAAAACACAAAAAATTATGGCATCAGGGTGGCTGGCTGGCTCAGCCAGTGCAGCATGCGACTCGTGATCTCAGGGTCATGAGTCTGAGCCCCATGCTGGTAGAGAATACTTAAATAAATAAAACTTAAAAAAAAATTATGGCATCATAGTTTTTAAAAAATATTTATTATTTTCTCAAAATAGTACATGCCCATTACCAGAAAATTTGGAAACTATACAAAAGTTTAAAAAAAAAAAAACTGTAAAATGCTCCCATATTCCCATTCTTAAATAGTCTTACATTTTGATATTTTCTTCAAGTTGTTTTTCTAAGACGTAGATTTTTTTATTAACATTGTTTTAATCATACAATTTTATCTTTTTTTCACCTTTCTATAATATACTTGTTCATAATACATACACTTTAATGGCTTTATATTTTATGTAGTATTTTTACTAGTTTACTTGAATATTCCTTAAATAAATGAAATTTAAGTTGTTTCCAACTTTTCACAATACTAAAATAATACTTTGGTGGACCTTTTCATGCCACTTCTTTCTTTTTCATAGTTAGGATTAATTCTTTAATGTGGATTTCCAAAGTAGACTTACTGGATATAAGGAAACATTCAAACCTTTTTATTTGTGGAGCTGAACTGCTTTTCAAGACTACTGCTCCAATTTATACAACAATGCATGGGACCCTCTGATCCAGACTGACCTTGATATTAATACTCTGCTGAAAACACTGCTCCAGAACAGTGACTCTCTGATGGCCTGGTCTATTGGACCCATTATCATCCTAAGGCTCATGGGCTTCATTTGATGCTGCTGACCGCTCACTCCTTCACAGAATCCCCACCCTTGGCTTCTGCTTTACCATTTTTTTCTGATCTTCCTGTCCTCTAACCTTCCCACTCTCCTCTGCTGGATCCTGTTCCTTTGCTGGTCCTTTATACGCTGCTATCACCTAGACCTAGGGGTCCATCCTTGGCCTCTTTCCACCCTGCATGCTCTCCCTGAGTGATCCCACTTACATGCTACTCAAAGCTATGTCTTTAGTTCTGACTTCTCCCCTGAACTCCAGAGCCTCACACCAAACCACCACCTATTAGACTCTACCTGGATATCCCTGTGGCACATATTTTTAGAATACATTTTGAAAAAGTCAACCCCAAACAACTTCATTTTCCACCCAAACATGCTCCTCTTTGGCAAATGGCAGAACCATCAACCTAGTCTCTGAAGTTACAATCACTTCAGTATTTTTAATCTTTGGTTAGGCATTCATCTAGTTTGAACAACATCCCAAACTTTCTCTACACTGAAGTAATGGTCCTGCAACACCAGGCTGATGTGTGGAGTGGGCGGAGTGAGCTCCTATTCTTTCTCCTAATTCCAAAAACCCATGTGATATATTGTCTTCGGATAGAGGATGTATCAGCTCTTAAACCGTTAAGAACAGATACTACACTTGATCTTAGCCGAAAGGCTGGGAAGTGACACACTGAAGTGGTTGTATAATTGTTACTACATCATTATGAAATCTAACAGACAATGTGAGTAGCCAGTGGATTTTCTAATCAAGATTAAGAGGGGTACACAGCCATATACAGACCATCACAAAGCAACGGAACTCACAATGAATTTGCACAAAGACTTTACTCAAAGCTGTACTGCTGTCAAATTTTTGTAAAAATGTTTTACTATCAATAACAAAATTCACTACTTAAAGGAATCCAATTATGACTGCTCTTACAAAATCTGATGTAGAAAACAAATGTTTGTTTTTGATGTTTGCAAATCAGATAAAAATTAGAGCAACAAACATGTCTGCTCTAGTAGAGAAAAACTAGTGAAACCATAATGCAGTTTATATCTAAAAATTGTACAAAACCATGAAAACCTTTTTAAATGGCATATAATAATACAACTAAGGGAAAACAAATTACATATGAGATACATAAAAAGTTTCCTATTCACTGGAGTAAAAAGCATACAGCATCAACACAACAGAGATTCTAACTTGTAGCTTCTTGCTATGTTTCTGGCTTGAGTGAGAGAGATGGAATTCATGAAATCCTGAGGTCCTTTATAGGCTTCATGAAATCAAACTGAAGAACGCTCAGAGCTGTCAGAGAAGATCCTCACCAAACTGACTGTGGTGAATGGGGCGTGATGAGGAGTCCGGGGGGTTGGGAGGAGCCAGGTTAGATTCGCAGCAGGACTGTGAAGAGCCAGTCTCGGAAACCCGCGTTTCTGAATCACTCAAGTACCATTCGTAAGTTAAGTAGTTTAGCCCAATATCGTTATGTAAATATTCAGGAAAAAATCAGGTATTTACCTTCCAATAGATTATTAAATTTTTTCCATCAGAACTCCACTCTCTCCACGTATCTGGTCCCTTTGAAGGAACTAGGAAAGAGATTTCAAAGTTAGCATTTGGAGATGTGTATTGTATGTCAGCTGATAATATCAATAATTGAGACAGTGGTGCTTGAGATTTTTCCCTAGGTTTTTGGAATTCTCCATAAAAATGTGAAGCAGTTCAGTGGCTTCCACTCAGAAATGAAACAATGAAAAAGCTGAGCTCTCAACGCCCACAAAACAAGAGGCCCCTTAGAATGGACTAAGGGATGCTACACCATCTCACACCCTCCTACCTCCTACCTCCCCTTGCTCAAGTCGGCTAGGGCCAAGCACAGGCTTCCGGGGTCTCCTCAGACGCGTTGGACCACCTGCCTCAGGCTTCCTGTGCTTTCCGTGACTGCTCTTCCCTGAGTGCAGAAACTCTCCTCCCCGGGATCATCTCCTCTCCTCCGTATCTCAGCTCTAATTTGACTTTACTAGTGAGGTCTTTTCTAGCTACCCTATTTAAAATTGCAACCCCTCCTCCTGTCACCTTCTTTCCCGAGTCCCCTTTCTAGGCTTTATTTTTCTCTGTGGTATTATCCAGCAAACTATTTCTAAAACTTTATTTCTAATCCTCTATCCTATAAACTCCATGGGCAGAGACTGTTTTATTCAGTGCTATATCCCTGGTGACTACCACAGTTCCTGACACATAGTGGGTGCCCAGTATTTTTTTTTTTTTTTTAAGATTTATTTATTTGAGAGAGCATGCACGTGAATGGGGTGGGGGAAAGGGAGAGAACCTTCAAGCAGACTCCCTGCTGAGTGCAGAGCCCAACATGGGGCTCAAACTATGACCCATGAGATCATGACCTGAGCTAAAACCAAGAGTCAGCCGCTCAACCGACTGAGCCACCCAGGCGTCCCTCAGTAAATATTTGTTAAGTGAATTAATGCTATAATCTCAGTAAGGTATAAATAAAATATTTTCTCTTGACAACAGCAGCTCATCAACTGAAGGCAAAAGCTCCTGTGGTAGCCAGTCTCCAAAGGATCAATACTGGTCACACCTCCTGGTAAGCCTGCCTGTGTGTGGCCCCCTCCCACACCATGACAGCACTGGCCTGTGTGACCAATAGGGTATGACAGATACGATGGTGGCTCCCTTCTGAGGTAAGGTCATAAAAGGCATTGTGGAGGCTGCCGTGTTTTCCCTCTACTCATTAAGTCCAGGAGGAGCTAGCTGCCATGTTATGAGGATACTCTGCAGCACTGTGGAGAGACCTGCATGGTGAGGAACAGCCACTGTGTGAGCCATCTTGAAAACAGATTCTCTAGCCCTCGGCAAGCCTGCAGCCCCCATCTATGTCCACACTGTGGCCTCATGAGAGACTACAAGCCAGAGCTACTCAGCTAGGCTGCTTCTCAATTTCTGACCTATACTCACTGTGAGATAACATGTTTACTGTTTTAAGCCACTGAATTTTAGGGTAATTTGTCAGGTAGCAACGGATAACTAAATACACTGGACTCATGCACAGCATTCAGTTTTGATGATCCAAATAGTTTTTTTACATATATCACAAAGACTTCTCTCATCTCTCTAACCTTCCTTCATGTGGAGAGGCAAAAATCTGGATTAGCATCTATCATTTTCTGTTTTGTTCATTAATTTTTTGGAAGAAGTTTTTTTAAGAAGATTCGTTTATTTGGGGGGGCAGAGAATGCATACAAGCTGGGGAAGGGGCAAAAGAAAAGGGAGAGAGAAAATCCTCAAGCAGACTGCCCACTGAGTGTGGAGCCCAAAGTGGGGCTTGATCCCAGGACACCGAGATCACGACCTGAACTGAAATCAAGAGTTAGATGCTTAACCAACTGAGCCACCCAGGCACCCCTAGAAGAAGTTTTATATTCCCTATATTATCTAGCGCAAATAAAGCTTTTGCTATCTTTTGTTGAATGACTCCTGAAAATTATACCTATTTCTAAGTTTTTTTGCTTTTTACTTTTAAAGCTGACATCTGATTATTCAAGGATAGAATCTCATTCCATCTTTGGAAATTATCATACTCAGAAAACCAGTTACCTAATTTTGTACCTATTTTGACCTCCGTGTACTGCAGAAACTAAGTTCAAGATCTCTGGCCCCATCCGTTTCTCAAGCCTAGGTCACAAATAAAAATTCCAACCAATTCTCTTTATTAACAATTGTCTTCAGTAAAGTCATCTAAATAGGTTACCAAAATTCTAGGAAAGGAGGAAAGTGTCAGAGAAATCACCCATAATCTCATCACAGTTTCGAGTTTGTTTCCTCTGCATCATCTTAGGACACAGCTGCAAACATCCTGCAGACAGGCCTGGTCTTCCCCACAACACAGGCCAAGCGGCTGCCCGTAGGAGCACAAACCTTAAAGCCACGATTTAAGATGTCTGGATGATATTTTACTAGGAGATATTACACAATTATGCAATTCAAGCTTTCTCCTTTTACTCACTTCGGTGACATTTTCTTTAAAAATAAGTTGTAAAATGTCAAGATCCATAGTAATAATCAGCTATAAACCATTGACTGAACTTACTGGCTTCTGTGGTTAAATATTTTTTTTCATTGCTCCATTTGCTCCATTTCCAGAAAGTTTCAGTAGAACAGCGAATCCGAAAAGTATATATAGTATATGGATTTAACTTGTCCACAGCTACAAGATAACTTGAATTTTCTACTCCTTTGATTGTGACATTCCGCTATTAGAAAGCAAATCAGTATGTATATGTAATGTCATGTAAGAATCCACATATATATACACATACACACACATTTTGATAAGCCACCCAAATTTATAACATAAATTGACTAAATGTCCATGTGAGTTTACCTTTGTAAGACTAAAGACACTTCATCCACCAAAACATTTTAATTTTCACATAAATATAAAATCTGTGAAATTACACCCTGTAGTAATATATTTAGTTATCATTTTAATTCAAATACTGGGTCTAAGTAATAATGATCAATTAAATTATGCAGAAAAGGATGATATAATATTGTTAATTGGTCAATGGCTAATGGTAATACAACAAGCCTTAATATACTTTAGTAATCTAAGATGACTTTGAGGATTAAGTACATTAGTCAGCTACATTTGGAAGCTTCTCTGAGGCAGGCATCATCTTATCTATTTTTTTAACAGGGCACTTAGAACCTCTAGTATGGTGCTAAACATGCAGAATATTCAACAAATTCTTATTTAAATTATGTAAAATTAAAATGAAATAATTTAAACAAATCTGAGGATCTGCATGCCTCAGGAAATCCTCTGAGCTCCCAGTTACAAATTATAAAGGAGTTTTTTGGGTTATATTCTGGCATTTGACTTATTTTCTAGCAATCATCAGTAAGTTTCCAAATGAGTATTTTCACTACAATATCTTTTATTTTGGACTTACCACAAATTATAAGATGGTACATTACAAAAGTCAAGCTAAGTATCTGAAATGTATTAAAAAGTCATGTTCTGACTTATAACGACCACATTCTGACTTAGAACTTGCTCCTATTGCTGTACTTGGCAGTTTTAGAAATCACATCTTCTCTCTGGTGCTTATCAGTCCATTAACTGATGCTAAAGGTTATAGCAAAAACTATTAATTCATGTACAAATTTGCTGAGCACCAGCCATGTGACAGGTACTATACTAGACTTGGAAACATTCTGAGTAGTAAAAGTCAAACTCATGTTCTATAATACCCAGGATTATAACTGTTTTCAAGTGCTAAGTATAATGCTGTCATTACATTGATATATAATGTCTTAGTTCTTAGTAAATTTCTATAATAAATCATCTGAGAGCTTCTGCGTATCAATTTCCTTAATTCGTTTTGAAAACTATTTTACCCAAAGTAACCTCAAAGGAAGTTTATAGAAAAATCTTACTCACCAATTCTTGGACTGAGTTAGTTGTGTTAATTTCAATTTGACATAAAAGTTTAATCTTTGCAAAGTTGCCTGGTAAATGCCAGGAAAGTGTAACAGCAGTTGAATTAATATCCTTCACTTTGATTGAAGTAGGAATTCGAGGATAGACTATAAATATAATTTGTAAAGATTACTTTAAAAGCTACTTTAGAATACAATAAATGACAATTTAAAAAAAAACACCCCCCCCCAAAAAAAAACAAGAAACAAGAGAGGCACCATTAGTACCGATCAACAATATTCCACTTAGTACCCGTGGCATACACAAACCTCACTTTTACTGCTGGTATCGTGCCAACAGACCAACCACACTCAAGGTTCTTTGACTGGCATCAGGAATACTAAAAGGTAGTTGGATCATAATCTCTACCTTTAAGGAACCCCTAATTTATTTGGAGAGTGACAAAAAAAAGAGAGATAATGAACAAGAGTATATATGCTAAGTTGGAAATGTGTGGTACAGCTCTTAGTGGCTACAGGAATTGAGATACAAGTGTGGGAGGGAAAGTCTTCGAGTGAAGATGGAACTTAAGATGAGCTTTGAAGGAAGAATCTGACTAAAATTGCTGAAACTGATGCAGAAGAGCATTTCTGATTGGGTCTTGGCAAGAACAGTACAACAGTGAAACAAACTACACACGATGCTGGTGATAGCACATAGGCCCAGGTGAGTGGGAAGAAGGAATCATGTGAAAGTAAGGTTGAAAGGCCGAGGGCAGACAAATACACACAAACACTACCACTCAAGTACAAAATGTAACTGTTCTGACCTTAGGAAAAACCAGGAAACAAAAATGATGAGAAGGAATAATTAATAGAAGTGTACTTACATCTACAAATAGGGCAACAAGATCAGTTGCTAAGCACTTGCTAGTGTCTATTATAATGCATTTGGTTTAAGCCTTTCTCCACTGACCGTGAGGCTCTAAGAGAAGGCCTCTGGACTACAGTGGAATGCCATGGGAATGAATGCTAAGAAGATGGACCATATTTTATTTCTATTTTGAACTACATATTAATAGGGCCGGTAAAAGTCCCAGAATCATCAGCAATAAGAAGGAACAAACCACTTACTGATAAACACAGCAACTTGGATGGATCTCAAGGACATTACCCTTAGTGAAAAAGGCTAGGTATTGTAGGATTCCATTTATACAACACTTCAAAATGACAAAACACAGAGATGAAGAACTGAGTAGATGTTGCCTGGGGACAGGGATGCAGGAGCATGGGGTAGGGGGTACACAGCGGAGAGGTGTGGGGAGGTTTGCTAACGGGGCACCAAGCGGAAGTCTCTTCGTGGAGACAGACCAGTACTGTAGCTTGACTGTGTTGGTGGTTCCGTGAATCTGTACATGGATCCAACCGCACAGAAGCACATCCACGCACACACACCTCCAAACGCACACAGAAACTTGCAAAAACTGAGCAAGGTCTGTTGTAGTCCAGTTCACTGGTCTAGTTTGCGGTATTGTATCAGGGTCGATTGCCTCATCTGGAAATTGTACTGTAGTTAGTAAGACGTCACAAGCAGAGAAAGCCGGGTGAGGTCACGGGGCTTTATTATTTTTGCAACCACTTGTGAGTCTATAATTATTTTAAAATAAAAAGATTGAAAAAAAAAAGCTTTTAAAAATTGGGCAAAAAATTTTTCAAGAATCAAAAACTATTAGATAAAGCCACTTAAAGTTTCTATGTAAATGACTCATACAAATTTTTATCTGAATTCAATAAAATGGTGAAACTTGAAATTATACATTTTAAGGATTTTTAAATAAAACATAAAATATTAAGTAACTCTAAAGAAAATTATAAAAAGGAAGCCCTAGAAGCACTTTTCATTAATTTCAAAACATTTTACCACTTCTAAAATTATTTTTAAGACACTGGTTTATGCAGCAGCTTACCTTTTTCAGTTATGTTAACTAAAATAGTTGATTCTGATCGACCCAGAGGATTGCGAGCATTCAAAGTAAAATTATATATTTCTTGATTTGGACGCATTTGAAAGAGTAACTGATAGCTTTCATTTGTTGGTGCTTCAACTCTTTTAAACCTAACATATTTCCCTGAAAAACTGTGAATTAAGAGAGCAATAAGAAATATTAAGAGATAAATACTTCATTCAGGAAAAAAATGAATGGGTAAATTTCTAATAATCTTTTTTAAAAGTTTTTATTTCTAATTCTAGATGCACTATGTACTTGGCAAAGAAAATGTATATGATTCAGAAAAGAGATGAAAATAATCGGCCAGAAACCTAGAAACAGTCTCTGTTCATATTTGAGGGTTCTTCTAGGATTTTTAGAAAAAGCATATGAATCTAGTCTGTGTGCATGTCATCTGCAGTATTTATGGTATAACCAATTTTATACAGCATATTAGCTTTTATATCTTACTCATAACAAATGAGATATCGCATTTCCCTATGTCATTTAATACCCTCCAATGTGCTCCTCGCTCTCTGACATCTTTCCCTGGTGACTTTTACCTTTCAAATAAAGTATAACTTGTATTGCGTGGGCCCACCAATGCAGTTGGTCTTCCTGGACTCCAAGTACAGACAATCTCTTTTAAATCATAGGTCTCACAGTTCAGTTTTTGAGGAATATCAGGTGGATCTAATAGGAAAAAAATGTAGTTACATCCTATGGGTTACATATATTTTCCCTGAAAACACGTTTCATAATGTTAACTATATTTTGTACAATTTCCTTTAGAAATGAAATAATGTATTGTTTACATTTTACCTTTTGAACAATGCAGGAATTGCCATGCTTTCTGTAGCTTGTTTTTCTGGAGTTCATATTATGTTAGAAATGATGGACTAAAATATACTGCAGAATGACTACTAGCTCATTTGGAAACTTCCCAACAGCAACCTGAAGACATTTTTCCCCCCTTAAATCCTATCAAATCTTTCAAAGGAAGCTGTACCCAACAAATCAGAAAAATCTACAGGTTAAAAGTATTATCTATCATGTAAATACTGTGATTTGAAAAGAAGTACCAACTCAGATTAAAGGTCAGCACCGGTCATATTACAAGTTTCAGAGTTCTTAAATAAGTTACAATGATTATTATTTACAAAGTATCTCTTGGTAAAATTCTGCATCTTCCTATGTTCAAAGTGACTACTGCTCTTCTGTTTTTGTTCTTTATTGGAACACTCCCTCTGGTTTTGCAGGGGCAAAACTAGAAAAAAGAAAAATGGGGGTTTTCTGTGTGTCTTAGACCTTTAAAGTAATAATGCAAAATTCTGCAGTTGGACACTAATTATAGAAATTGATTACCTCTGTACTCATGTTTAATCAAGCATACACAGAAACTGGTGTTCTCTGTCATATTTACCTTATCTACCAAATTATCTTTCACAAGTTTTTAAAAAACAATTACGTACTTGTTGCAAATTCTGTAAAATAATTTTATTTTTTAAGAGCTAATCTTTAAAGACAGTTCTTAGACTGTTTTAGAGACTTAGAAGGACATAGAGAATTTCACATACCCTCCTGAAGCAGAATAATGTCCGTCAATGGTATTTTAGGTAATATTAAGAGGAGTCATGAGTTTTTAAAATCTAACAACTGCATAAGCAGATAACACTGATATATTTGTTTTGAAAATTGTTTTAAATCTAAGGCTAAACTTTCAGCCATTTTATTAAAATGACATACCAAATTTTTGGGTATACTTAAAATGCCGATTATTTTAGTATTTGGCAGATTAATGTTAAGGTGAAATAGTTAAAATCCAAATAACAGAAGCAAATTAGAAAGAAGCGGAAGCAAAGATGGAGGGAGAAAAAATAGGAGAAGGCAGTATTTGAAAGGTAATGTACTATCTTCTCAATCAGCTGAAGCTGGATAAAAACTAGGTATAAATCAACTGTATTACCAGCAAACAGAAAATGCAATTTAAAAAACAGCCATTTTTATGAAAATATTTTCAAATGAGAAAGTATGAAATTTGACATGTGACATAAAATATTTACACACTCTAATTCTATGTCACAATGTAGTATTTTAAAATTCATGAGTATGATGAAAGATTAATACTTAAGTCAATTTTTAATGAAGTGGCACTATCTATGAAAATAACTGATTGAATGCATAGTGTTTATAAAATATTTTGCTTATAACTAAATTAGCTCATGCATAAACACTGAAAAATATTGGTAAATATCCTATCTGTTGGATAATAAATGTATTTGCAATTACAATAATAAACTGAAGAGGAAAAGACACTTTTACTAGCACCAAACATCAAACTCTTAGGAATAAATTTACTAAAAGATATATAAGACCTCCTATCACTATAATAAATCAAAGAAGACCTAACTAAATGAAAATATATACATGTTCCTGGTTTGGATAACTCAGTATAGTGAGAATGAAAGTTCTCTTAAAGTGGTCTCCTAAATTAATAAATCTAATGTAACTCAAATCAAAATCCTGGCAGGTTTTCATTGTGTCTTTTCAATATATGGTGGGTTAACAGGATATCCATAAAGGAAAGAAAATAATGAATCTTAATCCCTAACTCACACCACAAACTGCCCTTCCTGTTAAGTTCCTAAAGAAATCCCTCTGAAGGGAAATTCTATCGCTGCTTCTGAGTTAACAAAAATTGAATAGTTCAACCCCAAATGCTATAAATGAAGGTGAAATTATGAATTAAATAGGCTTGTTCTACTATTATGTATAGAAGAGTAGAACAATGGGGCACCTGGGTGGCTCAGTCGTTAAGTGTCTGCCTCCAGCTCAGGTCATGATCCCAGGGTCCTGGGATCGAGTCCCGCATGGGGCTCCCTGCTCTGCAGGTTGCCTGCTTCTCCCTCTCCCATTCCCACTGCTTGTGTTCCCTCTCTCTCTGTGTCTCTGTCAAAAAAAAAAAAAAAAAAGAGTAGAACACTATTGGAAACAATAAAAACCTGATGAATAGTCTCATCTTCTGATTTTTAATTTTTCTCTTTCATACTTTCAAGTGGATATCTCACTTTTTGGTATCACTTATCATAGGGTAGCCTCACTCCATATACCATTGGTTTTTAACTTACACTCCATAGTCATTTGTGAGGAATGTTGCAAGTCCTTCCCTAAAATTCCATTAGGAAAGAAATTTTCTTTCAAGTTTAAATTTGAACATAATCTCTCTCTCACTTGAATTCCAAAAGTTACAGCCATCAAACTGAGAAGTGCATCTAACCCCGGTTATTCCCTTGGGAATATATGAGCGATGCAACATAACTCAGCCTAAATTTCACTGGAAGGAAAAGAGAGGTGGAGAGCTGCTGGTCTAGAGCACCGCTGAGAATCCAGAAAAGGGGAAGAAAAATCACCACGATCCAAAGAAAAATCACAAAACCCACTCAGTACATTCCACACCCTTTGATCATGAGACCCTTTAGACCAAACTCAGCCTCTGATTCCGAATGCTAGGGAGGAAGGGAAGCAGCGCTGCTGGGGGCAAAGCCATCCGTGCACCACATGCCAGTTACCACAGGAGAGGGGACAGAAACACTCCAAACACAAAGTCCCTGTGGACATTCAACACAAGCTACATAAACAGGGCAGTCCCTCACAACAACTTTCGGAAATGTCATGGAATTTTAGAACTGTGGGAATGACAATGTTAATAAAGAAGCCCCTGTACTATGAGGCATATGTTACAGAGAGGACACAGCGAGAGAGGGACCCTTCCCGAGCCTGTCCTCCAGCAACCCTCTTCTTCTCAGATATACTACTTTGAAAGCTAGAGAAGCACATGTTATGCCGTCGAAAGATTTTGTGGAAAATTCATTACTGTTTCTTTAATTGGGGGTTGTTTTAAAAGGTATGTTTTTAAATTTTAATTTTAAAAAGACATGTATGTTTATATTAGGTGGGATGTTTTAAAATTTTAATTTTAAGAGGTGTGTTTTAGGTGGAAAATTGACTGTGAGTAAGCCCTCGAACACAGGGTCAGGGGCACTGACCTCGCATGCAGTCAGAAATCTACATACAGGGCACCTGGTTAGCTCAGTTAGAAGAGCATGCAACTCCTGACCTCAGGGTCGTGAGTCTGAGGCCCACGTTGGGTGTAGAGATTACTAAAACAAACTTAAAAAAAAATCTACATATAGCTTTTGACTCCCCCAAAATTTAACTACTAGTTTACTATTGACTGGAAGCCTTACCTATAAACATAGACAACTAACACATATTATTTTGTATGTTATAATGTGTTATATTCTTACAATAAAGTGAGCTACAGAAAATGTTAAGAAAATCATAAGAGGAAATGCATTTATAGTATTGTAGTTATTGAAAAAAATCCATGTAGGGGTGCCTGGGTGGCTCAGTTAAGCATCTGACTCTTGGTTTCGGCTCAGGTCATGATCTCATGGGTGGTGAGACCGAGACCCATGTCAGGCTCCACGCTCAGCAGGAAGTCTGCTTGAAGATTCTCCCCCTCTGTCCCTCCCCCACCTCTTGTACACCCATTCCCTCTCTAAAATAAATAAATACTTAAAAAAAAATCCATGTATAAGCAGACCCATGCAATTGAAACCTACTTTGTTCAAGGGTCAACTGTATATGAAATAATTCCTAAACAATGTAGTATTAAGAAATGTTATATACAAACTACCCTTGACTCAGCAAAACTGTTAACTTAAGAATTTAAAACTAAGCAGCTGGATGTTTCAAATCTTACTACAAAAGCTACAAGTTATATAAATACAAACATACAGAAAACGAGCTTAGAACTCATCTTAAAACAAGCAAAAATTCTGGTGTCTTCATATTAAAAAAAAATAGAACTGTCCATGTCCCTGGAAATAGCATTAAAGCTTTTAAAGAGGCCCAAAGCAGATCAATAGGAACTCTTTAATATTATATACTTACATCCTGCGAAAATAACTGTCCCAAATATGTTATCTTCCGTTGTGAAAACCACATTTGTTCCGCTATTTGCAGAAACAGAAATATTATGGATCTTGATTGCCACATTTTCCCCATCAAGATGGATAAGGGGACAATTTGTTTGGCCAATCTGCGCTGATAACACTTTTTCTTGAGTCACACAACAAAATGTTATATCTGAGCCTACAAGTATCACTTTGTCTTGAGGAAAAACCTTAGTCTGAGAATCAGGTGACCCTAGAGAGAACAAAAGGAATTACAAATACCTTAGAAGTCTTTTACCATAAAATAGCCCAGTGTATATAAAACATACTATAAAGTGTTTTCTAATAACGGCGGCCCAAAGGACCTTTAAAGGAGCAGGACATATACAAGAAATAAATAAAAACCACGTATATTTTATCTACTTATGGCTGATAATGGGGGAGCGGAGGGGATTTCAGGCCAATGCCCAAGGTCACAGGTTAATGTCTAAGAAGTCTGAAGGTTCAAACTAAATGGGTTTATATCCATATGTGAAAAATCCATACCAAGAAAATGTCACTCATTAAATAATTCCAGTCCTTTGAAATGATTTCTATGTATTTAGGGCAGACTTCTTACTTTCCATCAGCCTGAATATATGTTTAAGTATTCCACATCCTAAAGAGCACTTTTTCCTTAACCTCAACTCTCTGCAGGTTAAAACCACACCTTTGCTTTTATTTTCCTAAACGTCCAATCTTTTTAATTATCTCTAGTTTCCTTTCTATCTACTTAGTCTCTAATCTACCACAATCTGGCTTCTACCCTGACCATTCTACTAAAATGGCTCGCTGATCTATTTGTTCAGTCCAATGACCACTTCTCAGTAACCCTTGCCTTCAACATCCACAGCATCCGACATGTTGCCTAAACTCTAGCTTCTCAAAACTCCCTTCTCTCTTGGGTTCTACTCTGAACCCTCTGGCTACTGTCTTCCACTCTGCTGGCTCTTTTTCTTCCATCCTACCCTTAGACATACCAGCTTGTAAGACATGTGTCCCTGGTCCCCATTTTCTTTCCCCGAGTACAGCAACCTCTAGATTTAAACAATTTCACATCCCATGTATGTTGATGACTCTCAAATATATATCTCCAGCTCCTAGTAATCCGTTGGATGCCAGACTTGTATTTTCGACTGCCTGAGACATCCCTACCCAGAAACTTCCTAAGTACCTCAAGCTCAACATATTAAAAAATGAATTTATCTTTCCCACCTAAGTCATTCATGTATTTCCTGTTTCAGCGGAAAGCATCACCAGCTACTCAGCTGTCCAAACTAACAGTCACCTTTGGCTCTATTTCTTGGTTAACAAATGCACAGTCACTAATTTTAATTCTGTCTCTTCAGTGTTTTCATACCTTTTGCCCCTTTTCCTTTCCAGACCCACATGCCCTACTTTACGCCTTCACTGTCTTTTGTTCAATGGCAGTAAGATCCCCCTTACTTATCGACGTGCTTCTAGTCCTTCCTTCCTCTGACCCATTTCTCCATGTGGGCACTAGAGTGGATAATCTACAATGATAACCAGCCTTCTGAAGGACTTCATTACACTGTCAACAATTTTTCAGGCCTCTCTTACACTGCCAACGTTCTACCTGCATATGAGTTTCATTCAACGTGCAGATGATTTGGGATTTGGGTATACTTACAGATCCCCATGTTCTCTGCAGCTCATAGGGATCTGCTCTGTGGGCAAGAAACTAGAAGCCATTTTTTTTTTTAAATATAGACTTGATCTCAATAACATCTACATAAAATTTTTAAATGTTCTTCAATGCCTACCAGTGATCTGCAAACCTGGATGTTTATCTAATGCCTTCAGAAGATCTTTAAAAACAGATTCCTGAATCCTATCTCAGAGTTTTTAAATCAAAATGTTCTGGGACAGAGACCTGGAAGATCCCCAGGTGACCCGCATGAAGCCAAATGGCATTTGGAGAACTGAAAGCTTACACTAAACCTTACCCTTACGCAAGACTAATCTAATTCATTTGAGAAACGAAAGCTTTTTAAATGTAAGCTTACAAGAAACGTTCTTCAGTGGGCTCCAGTCACTCCACTCTTTGTGACCAGAGAAATGAGGATCATCAACATAGCATCTAATTCCCACAGAATGAGTGGCGCACTCCAAGGGCATGTCTGAGGTCCAACTCCAGTGATGAACTGTATCTTTACCATTCACAGTTGTGTTGTGGGTCACCTAAAAAATGAAGACAAACACAAAATAAGATTTCTAAGTAGTGATATGTTCTGCTTCCTTAAAAAACACAATAAAATGTAGACAATCACCACTAAGTTAAAGGCTTGCCCTTTTGTACAACCATCTTGGTTTTCTATAAGGCATAATAGGAGAGTTACAGGAACAATAATGATGATTCATTTATGTTTACTTCTTTTTTTTAAATTCCAGCATAATTAACATACAGTGTAATATTAGCTTCAGGTGTACAATATAATGACTCAACAATTCCATACAACACCCGGTGCTCATCACGACCAGTGCACTTGTTTACTTCTTCAGTTTTAGGCTCCACTGCATGATTATACATGATGTTAATATTCCAAACATTCAATACAGTTCACAAATGTACCATTGCCAAAAATGATCTCCATTTTTCATCAAGAAAAAAAATTAATGGGTTTGTACTTCCAAGAGTTAAAGGCAAAGAAAGGAACAGCATCTCAACAAAATAACTGTTTCAGATCAGATTTGTTTTTATATGCAGCTTATAGTAAGATAAAATATTAATCTCAACTGTGAAAAATGGGAAGGATTTCAATAAAATATCAAAGATCTACTAAAAGAAACCTTGGGAGCTCCAGTTAAAGACAACAGATTAAATAACTGTATTTCCTTTTCTCTTATCTTCTGAAATCTTTCTAAAACGAAAGTACACAGATTTTTTTTTTTCCTAAGGCATAGATGCACAAAGGCAAAAACCAGAAGAAACAACACCAATGAAATTCTGGATACTGGAGAGCTGATGGACAACAGTAATGGACTCAGAAGACCTGAGAAAGCTGAATCTTAAGCCTCCAATGGAAAAGGCAGAAACCACCTGACTTCTATCATGGAAATGCCAAAGGGCTCAGGAAGGGGCTGTACCAGGCTCCCCTAGAAATGCAGTGAAGGTGAGGCGCAGAACAGAAGACTGCTTGAAAGTTGTTTGAAGAGATTTTAGGTACCCAGATTTCCCTCCCACATTCTGTGCTACCAAAAGACTACCCTTCTTCATCTTGGCAGAATGGAGATTTATGATCTGGAAAAGTAAAACACTACCTCTGGAATGAAGAATCTCAGAAAGAGCAGAGAATGGGAAATACTGTACCCAAAACAAGGGGATTGCTAACCTATGCACTATGAAGGCTGGGATGCTCCTGCCTTCTTCTCCTACTCAGCCCTCAGGATACTGATGGCAGAGTTGCTACTTACCAGGTAGGAACCTAAATCAACTTTCCTGGGGCATATGAACAGGTCAAGCTAAAAATCTAAAAAAATAGTATTAAGATTTTGTCAACTAGCCTGGTGTGATTCCATCCTGTGCAGCTGTTCTGTGGAACAGTAGTCGTTTATCTCTGTCCACCTTCTCTCCCACCTAAGTGCGTGCCACCACCCCATGGAAGATTCGATGGACATGGACATGAGCCCCCTGAGGCCCCAGAACTATCGTTTTGGTTGTGAACTAAAGCCTGACAAGGATTATCACTTTAAGGTGGATAATGGTGAAAATGAGCACCAGTTATCTTTAAGAACGGTCAGTTTAGGAGCTGGTGCAAAGAATGAATTGCACGTTCTTGAAGCAGAGGCAATGAATTAAAGCAGTCCAATTCAAGTCACACTGGCAACTTTGAAAATGTCTGTACAGCCAACGGTTTCTCTTGGGGGCTTTGAAATAACACCACTTGTGGTCTTACGGTTGAAACGTGGTTCAGGGCCTGTGCATATTAGTGGACAGCACTGAGGAGCTGTGGAGGAAGATGCAGAGTCAGAAGAGGAAGAGGAAGAGGACGTGAACCTCCTTAGTATATCTGGAAAGCGTTCTGCCCCTGAAGCGGCAGCAAGGTTCCGCAGAAAAAGTAAAAACTGCTGCTGATATAGGTGATGATGAAGATGACGACGACGACAATGATGATGATGATTCTGATGATGAGGAAGCTGAAGAAAAGCCTCCAGTAAAGAAATCTATATGAGATACTCCAGCCAAAAATGCACAAAAACCAGAATGGAAAAGACTCAAAACCATCAACACCAAAAACAAAAGGTCAAGACTCTTTCAAAAAACAGGAAGAGATGCCCAAAACACCGAAAGAACCTAGTTCTGTAGAAGACATTAAAGCAAAAATGCAAGCAAGTATAGAAAAAGGTGGTTCTCTTCCCAAAGTGGAAGCCAAGTTCATCAATTATGTGAAGAATTGCTTCCGGATGACTGACCAAGAGGCTATTCAAGATCTCTGGCAGCGGAGGAAGTCTCTTTAAGAAAATAGTTTAAACAGTTTGTTAAAATTTTCCGTCTTATTTCATTTCTGTAACAGTTGATATCTGGTTGTCCTTTTTATAATGCAGAGTGAGAACTTTCCCTACCGTGTCTGATAAATGTTGTCCAGGTTCCATTGCCAAGAATGTGTTGTCCAAAGTGCCTGTTTAGTTTTTAAAGATGGAACTCCACCCTTTGCTTGGTTTTAAGTATGTATGGAATGTTATGATAGGACATAGTAGTAGTGGTGGTCAGACAAATGGAAATGGTGGGGAGACAAAAATACACATGTGAAATAAACTCAGTATTTTAATAAAGTAAAAAAAAAAAAAAAAAATTTTGAAAAAAAAAAACCCAACCTAAACAACTAAAAAGAAACCCCAAATAAAAATCCCTGGAAAAAAAAAAAAAAATTCCAAATAAAAAAAAAAAAAAAAAATTAAAAGTCACTCACTTAAATGTGAGCAGCAATGAAGATGACCAGAAATTGGAGAAAAAGTTCTAATATGAGAGTCAAAGATCAAAACAAAGAAAAAAGCAACTCGAAGAAACAGACTATACAGAAAGAAAAAAAATTAAATAACTGGTATCCTCAGAGATAAAGATATTGCATCCATAAAACAAACAGAACAGACAAAAGGGATCTCTTGCACATTTAAAAAAAAAATCTATTAATAGAAATTCAATAGCAGGAATGCAAGATCAAGTTTAAGAAAAACTGTTCAGGAAACAGAGCAAAATAAAATTACAGATGGAAAGTAGGAACAATTAAGAACATTAGAGGACCAGTCGAGAAGGTCCAATTTCTGAAGAATTTCTGTAAGGAAAAAAATAAAAAAAGGAGAGAACAGATATGAAGAAATCAGAGACATAAGACATAAAATAAGAAAATTTCCCAAGCTGACAGACATGTGTTTTCAGACTGAAAGGGGCCCAATGACTGTCTAGTACAACAAAGGAAGACAGACCCACAAGAAGAAGCAGATGGAACAATGTCTTCCAAATCTTGAGAAAATTCCCCAACCTACAATTCTATACCCAGCTAAAGTAGCAATCATGAATGAGTGCAAAATAGACATTTTTTAGAAATGTCACATCTTAATAAATTCATCAGGTAGCATTTTACACTCCCATCAGAAGTGTGTGAAAGTTCCAATTGTTCTGCATATTCTCAATATTTGGAACTGACAGTCTTTTAAATTTTGTTAGCAACCAATTTAAATTAAAAAAAAAAGTATATCTGCAAGCTACCATTATAGGTAGCAGAGAATATTTATAATAAATAGCAAATACCTACTAGAACATATGCTTCCACCAAAATGAGGAATTAAGAGGAAGAATTCAGGAAAAAGAGGATCCATCACAAGAAAATGGTAAAAGGAATCCCCTGGATGATGATGGAGACCCCCTGGTCCACAGCTTCCTAAGAAATGTGCCAAGAAAACACTGAGATTTGTCCTAAATGGCTTACGGGTATACATAGGTATTAATCTCTTCAAACCTAGTGTTGGCTGGTAGGAGTGGAGACAGCCAGAGCTCCTGAGAAACCTCTGGCCACAAAGAGTCCTCAGCTATTTACCACACTCTTGCTCTACCAACACTATACCTACGTGAACCCTATGTAAACAGGGCTGAGAGGTAAGCCAGAAGGCCTCAGAGAGAGCTATTCACATTTAGCTGATAAAATACTAGTGTGTTTGAACAATTCAACACAAGATTCATACAACTTGGAGAGAATTTAGGATTGAATTAATGGGGCACAAAAATAGCACTAAAAATACAAGAAGCTGTGTCCCCCAAAAAGGAAAATAATAGTATATGCTACTTGGTTTAGTTGTGGATAGTGTTTATATAACTATAATACAAACAATGAATGCCAGTCTACCAAACATTATCACAGAATGATACAACAATACAGGAAAAAGATGGGAAATGTGAGAGAGAGAGAGAGAGAGAGAGCAAGCACGCCAGCATGCAAGTGTGTGCGCCCAGGCCAGGAGATGAGAGGACTAAATTCTCATCTCCCACTGTTACAATAAAATGCTGCTCAAAACTGAAAAGAAAAATTAAGGAAGAGCAACATAAGCATGCTATCTGGACAATGGAAATAATTAATAAAAGAATCAGCTAAAAGAACTGAAACTTGTTGTTTACACGAAGAGCAAAATGGGAGGGGCCGAGGGTGCTGCAGAGCTCCCAGGTGTCACTCCTATCCTGGTCCCCGCAGTGCGCAACTTCCACACCCATATGTGAGGCCATGGGCAGAAACCGTCAAGTTCTAACTGATTATTATTCTATTCTTATTACACAATCACAAAATAATAGCAAAGTGACAGTTCATAAGCAACTCTGCCTTAAATAATGATATTAATAACATATAATTACAAACAGAAAGGTCACATTTTACTACAGACCTGCATTACTTGCCCTCTCATGTTTCACTTTTTAAAAATTCCTTTGTTCTATCTCTATTTTTCTGGCCTCGTGCTCTATTTCCCCATATAAAGATTTTTTTCAAAGATCAGATCCCCAAAAGTACTACTTTGCCACTGCCATCTTGTGATGCATCTTGTGGCAATGAGTTACAGCACCTTAAAAATAGTATTTCCATTTCTTTATGCTTGATTTCACTTACACTTCCAAGAGTAACCCTCTTATTCTAGCATCCCTTAGGTAGGCCCCAAAGAAGTAATGACAACTAGTAGTTGTATTTAGCAGCTTTATAGATATTGGTATCATTTACTAAAGTAAATACTTGACACCACTTCACAAATGAGAAAAAGGAGGTTTTGGGAAGTTACCCAAAGCCACTAAGTGGTAACCCACCCAGCACAAAACGTCAGGCCATCATAAAGAGCTACACAGTACAATTTTAGATAAGCAAAAGTTTTAAGACAACTGTGGTAGAGCAGTATCAAAGCTAACTCCAAATTAGATTGACAGGAAAGAACTGCCATTAAAATTCAAGAAGAAAGACGGCATTTTAGGCTGAGGAAATTAGGATGGGCTTTAAAATAAGGGGTAAGATTTGACTCAGGTCTTGAAGTGTACCTTCAATTTGCACAGGTGCAAAGGAAGGGAAGGCATCTTATACAAAAACAAATACATCTATTTTGTAACAGAAACTGCAGTGGTTAAGAAAGAGCACAGAGTCCTGGCTCCACCACTTCATGTCTTCCTGTGTCTCTGTAGCTTCATCTATAAAATGGGAATGATGCTGACAGTGCCCCCCTCGCAGGTCTGTGGTGAGGATGCATGGAACGACCATATACGGAGCTTTTAGAACACTGTCAGCAATGGAAGCACTGCGCGCACGCGCACGCCAGCTACAGTTAGGGCTGCCACTCATTTAGGAATGTAATACACAGTGTCAGAAAGGAAAACCAAGACAACAACTATGAAATACAGGTTCATCCTATTTTTTATCTTTACAATCTGGCTTATCTATGTACTTAGGCAAATAACTGTAAAATCATGAGATAGCCTTCTAATTCTTAAATCTCTAACTAAGCATATTTCAAATCCAATGAGAGGGAAAGGGAAAAGAGTAAAAGGACAAAAGAGGGAATTCCCACATACCCGCTGTCAAAACATTTCACAACTATTCCCCATTCTCCTTTAGATTAAGAGGAAACTAAAGACAGATCATAGGGAATCCATTCAGCAACAAAATTTTTTAAAAAATAAGAGAAAAAACATGTACTATTAAAAGTAAGAACGTTATAAGCTTTGCGCAGTGGCAGTATCGTAGCCAATGAGGTTTATCCGAGGCGCGATTATTGCTAATTGAAAACTTTTCCAAAAGTAAGAACGTTATTTCAGATTCAGATAAATTCAAACTTAGAGGCCTATACAAAATTTCTCTACAATTACTATGACTAAATATGTTTCAAAACGTTTTTATGTTTATAGTATGACGAAAGTAAAAATAATAGTAAATTATACGTATATATTTATTTATGTGAAAACATGCACATAAAAAAAGCTGGAAACACAAAAATAACATTTATTGTGGTCAAGTGGTGGAATCATGGATTATTCCTCCTTTAATTTCCTAAATTTACTAGAATTGGTAAGTAATACATTATTTTAAGTTATACACTATTTTAATAGGTGATTTGAGTGATAGCACATAGTTTTTAATGATATCTGATCTACTTCCTTAACAATGTAAAAGTTCACTGATACCACCTTAAAAATCTTTTTAAAATTACTTGGTTTCTTTAATGTCACAGGAAAGAAAAATCTATTTTGGTTCAAACTTACTAATTTTACAATTTCCATATTTTCTTTACGTAGAATTTTAATTTCCCAGATGACATTTAAATGATATGGAAAAACAGAGCCTCTGTCATTCCACTTTAGGTGTAATGTGGAAGTTGAGAAATCAGCCGACAAATTCAAGATCTCTGGAGTGTCTGGAATTAAGGCTTGAAAAAAAGAAAACAAAAGACATGACTCAGTAATGATTTTTCATATTGTAATTCCATTAATCAACTAATTTTAAACTCTATTCCTTCCGGATCAAAAAATAATAAAAAACTAAAAGCAAACTCTCGGGATACCTGGGTGGTGCAGTCAGTTAAGCATCCGACTCTTGATTTTGGCTCAGGTTATGATCTCAGGGTCATGAGATGGAGCCCCTTGTCCAGCTCTGCACTGGGCATGGAACCCTCTTAAGGTTCTGTCTCCCTCCACCCCGCCCCCTGCCTTGTGCACGCGCTCTCTTAAAAAAAAAAAAAAAAAGTAAACTCTCAAAGTGATTACTGAAAAAAGAGAATATATGTATTTATTTGCATAAGCAGTTCCCAATGATTCATCCGTCAAATCCGAGAAAATTATTATCAAATCCTAATATGTCTTCTAATACAAATAGCCACTGTGTTCCTACAAAACTCTAGTGTCATCAGTCTGGAATCTGTAAGGAGGCAACATCAGAGAGAAGTAAAGGAGCTGCCTCTGTATGACTATAGGTCAGGCCTAAGAAAATGCTGGAATACGGAAAGCCTGCTCTCGTAGAGATCGCCATCTGTTTTCTCTGATGCTGGCAGAAGTCACCCACTTGGGGATGCTATGAGCCATTCCTGGTATAGGTATCTGTAAACAGCAACAAGACCATAGGAATGACCAAGGCATTGAGTGAGGGAGCCAACAGGGTACTGTGCAGAGGTGGGAAGTACTCAGCAGGATAGGAAGTCCTTCAGAAAGGCTAGGTAAGCTGTGGTGTGCAGGGCTCTGAGAGAGAGAAGGTGATTAAGTGGGAGACCACTGGGGAAAGGCTGACCAGAGTAGCAAGGATACGGATCATGACACATCAGCACGTGCATGAAGGATATGGAAAAGGAAAAACTCTGATGGGCATTTCAAAGAAATGACAGGATCAAAGAAATGAAGGATTAGTATAGTAAGAAAGGGAAACATCTAAGATTTCCTCAAGTTTCTGGCCTAGAAAGGCAAAAGGAATCACGGACATTGTGAAGAAATGCGAGAGACAGGCTATTGATGACCAAGAGTCAGGGAGGGACAGGTCAGTGGAGGGGTCTGCCGACAGCGAGTGAGAATGGGGCCCATCAGCACCATGGACGCAGACTCAAGAGGAACTCACTGAGTGTAGCTGAAGAAACAGACTTGAACGCACGACTCAAAAGAGCCGAAGCTTGTTTGAGAGTTGAGAACTACCAATAGACAGTCACACCTTCAAGGAACCAGAGAACCCCAGCAAGAATCCTGAGAGGCAGAAGGAAACCAGAGAAGATCCGGCACTGCTGAGACTAAAAGAAATCAGTTGTCATTGAGGCCAAATCAAAGAGTTCATAGAAGAAAAGTGAGAAAAGACCACCAGCACTGTCACTGGTGATAAAGAAGCCTGGGAGGGTAGAGGGCTCTGAAGCCGCAACACAAAAGGTAAAGAAAAAAACCATGCTCAAGGATATGGTAGCTTACAGGGAGAAATGGTTAAAAAAAAAAAAAAAAAAAAAAAAGGAGGGGGAGGCAGAAAAAGTAAGGTATTCTTTTAAAATCTTCCAGTCTCCCTACCTAAAAGGGATGAGTAAATTATTCAATGAAAAACACGTAAGGTGTGAGCCTGTTCCGTTGTATGAAACACAGGCTTTCTGGTATGAAGGGCAGACAAGATGGGGACTCTTGTCTTGCATGTTCTCTCTTCCAACCACGGTAAGTGAAGGTAAGTTAAGACAGCTCCAGAGACACATGCTCTTGGCCCATCCCTATCCTAGCACTGTCCCATGGAGCACAGGGCCGGCTAGAGGAGTCACGGCAGGCCCAGACTGCAGGACTTTACAGAGGTAGGGTAGCTGAGTGTGCTAAGTAACAAAAATGGCAGAGCAAACCAATATAAATTAGTCTTGGAAATTAAAAACAAGTTCTTATTAAATTTAACTAAAATGTGCTGACCACAGTGCTCTATACTGGATCTGTGTAAAATATCTTCGGCTGGACAGGAAATAGTACCTGTGGCTTCAACTAAATACTATACAGCAAAGTCAATGGTTTCACAGCTACCTAAGGACAGTGGAGGATGCTTTACAGGACAAGTTTTAAGTAGGAGCTGCTTTTAAAACAGAAGGAGCCACTATATCGTACACCTGAAACTAACAGAACAAATACTATATGTTAACTGACTGGAATTAAAATTAAAAAAACAAAAAAAAAAAAAAACAAAAACAGGAGGAGCAAGAAGTTGCCTTAGTGCCAGGAGAGGGAAAGTTCAAGGTGCCAGTGTGACCACAGAGCAGAGGCTTCTGAGAACATGGTTCTTTCAAATGCTTCAGGCTGTCACGATATAGTAACTTAAAAATTATGAAACATGCGAGCATTTACACTAAGGCAATATTTATCTATCAAAATGCTCCCTCCCTGGAAAGTACACGTAATTTACATTTTATCTAAACAGAAGTGGGCTATTCTTCAAAACACAAGTCATAGCCAATACATATTTCAAGCTAAAAGACAGTAACAATCACAATTACGCAAATGAAAGGATTAAACACACACACATAGTACACTTCATAGTATACTTCCCCACAGTAAAATGGAAGTTTCCCTAAGAGTCCACAAACTATTATCTGCATTTCTTTCCAGCTAAAATAGACACTTGAGGACAATATTAACTTGCTTTCTAGAAGACACTTTTCAGCTGGGAAATAAATTTAATCACTTGTGTTTGTTTATTTTTTTAAAGCTAGTACATCTTTACTCATAACCTCCATGCTTTTCTTGCTTAAACATCAGAGGATGGGAGCTTTCCCAGCTCATTTATAGGATCCACATTATTTATTCTGTCTCAGCCAGATCTTATTTTCAGGTTATTTTAAGAAACTTACACACTAGAAGTCTTACAAAGACTTATTTCTGTGTTTGCCCTTGTCAATTAGAAGCTTAGTATGCATATGTACATATATGAAATACCTTGTTTGCTTTATATGTATAGTGTTGAAAGCATCTGGAGAAAACTTAATTTCTCAAACTTTAATTCAGTAGCAAATTGCCAAAAACCCAGATCCTCTAAGGCACGGGTACACTATCATTTCATACCTTCTCCCAAACAGTAAGTACTCAAAAGATTTGCTGATGCATCCACCTCCTTTTTATATTCATCTAGTTTGATTTTCAATTTTCTTATCAGTATTATAGTAGTAATAGTAATATCTTATTATTGAGATACTATTAATCTAATATTCTAATAATCAGACCCAGTATTATTAAAAATGCTATCAACAAATTACGTGATATGTAAAAACAATGAACTATTCATCCAGTAAGTAATCTAGATAATCTGTCTTGATTTGCCCTTCTAATTCTTTCTGTCAAACACTGTCATCTTCAAGTAGCTTCCCAGGCAGAACCTTCTCAGTTACCTGCTGAAAAATCAAACAACACAATCCGGCTCTCTGACAGAGTCCTGGGGAATTTTTTAAAAATCTGGAATAAAACTAAGATTCCTTATACCTTACTATAAAATAATTCCAGATGAGTAAAAGATTTAAATCGAGCATGATAACAAAATCAAAAGCTCAAAGAAAAAATAGTGAAAGATTCTATTTATATAAAAATGAAAACCAGGAAGTTTAAATTTTAAACTTGGAAAATTATTTGTAGCAAATATGATAGAATTAATAACCATAATATAGAGAGCTCTTATGAACCGATGAGGGAAAAGATGAGTTTCAACACAGAGAAAATTGAGAAAGGATACAAGTTCAGAAAAGAATAAAAATGGTAACTTTTTAAAAAGAAGTAATCACAGAAATGCAAAAACAAAGTGCTGTAATTGGGGGGCCATCAGATTGAAATGGCAAAACTAAGAGAAATGGACAATACCCAGTCTTAGCAAAAAGTAAAGAACAGGGCGCCCCTCTAATAGGATTTTGTGGAAATGCAAAGAGACTTGGAAGTTTTAAAAAAACAACTGGCAATGGATATTAAAAGTCCTAACAAGGGGATTATCTTTAATGCAGCATTCCCAATTTTAGGAATTTAGCCTAAGGAAATTGAAACATACATGTGCAAAACAAGCTCATTAAAGCATTGATTATAATTCTGAAAAACCAGAAATAAAAATCTCAATGTTAATAATCAATCACTTAACATATTTATGATACCTCCATTCAGTGGAATACTATGCAGCCTATAAAAATAATACAGATTTAGATAACAAATTGAAAAATCTATGTCTTCTGTTAAGCAGGTTATAAAGTAATATAAAGCTCACTGCTTTTATGTGTATGCATAGAAAATAAATTTAAGTGTTAGCAGTATTTTTCTGTAGGTACTGAGATCATGGCTGATCTGTACAAAACATTCTCACACAGATCTCACATCCAGCTATAGAAAGAAAAGAACAAACATGGCTCCCCTTTTGATCCTGAAAGGCAGTGAGACAGATGCGAAGTTCCTGGAAAGCTTGCTTTGTTATCCTTTCAGAATCTGTTCTATCTCAGACACAGACCACTCCCAACAGGCATCTCATCTATGAAATTGGACAGGTCACCAAGTTAATTATATTTTTCCCCTTGTTTCAAAGTAAGTCATCCTTATAAGACTCATTATAATATCATTCTGATGCCACACCATAATAGTTGTCAGGAGCAAACAAACCTGCCTCCCCCTCCATTAAGAGTCAAGGCTCCTGGGGTTTCTAAGGTTTCACTGTGTAGCAAAATTTCCATCTCCATCAGCCTGGGTCTATTTCATGACTCCACTCAGCCTGTAACCTTCGTCATAGGCATTCAGTCAACACATTTGTAAAAGATGCTCAGCACCTGTGAGGCAGTGGGCTAGGTGCTAGGTGTAGAAGAGAAACCCCCTGCCCTACTTGAACCTATTTTCTTGTGGAAGCGACACACAGTAAGTGCCTTATCACATAATACATTAGTAATGCAACTGTGAGAAATGCCACGAAGGAGAAATACACATTGCCTAAGGGAATGTTAAGAAAGGAATAGGGATGGTCAAAGACCACTTCGTAGAGCACGGGACACCTGAGAAATTCTGAAAGGTATGGAGGAATCAATGAGGCGAAGAGGTGACGAGAAAAGTATCCAATGTGGAAAGGATCGTGAACTCTGTGACATCTACTTTTGATTGACTAGACAGCAGTTGGCTTCCTTCCCCAATCTTGGCTGTGCTCTATAACCCACAGTATGGTTGCTGGGGAAATGCAAGCATTAGTCTAACTGCCATTCAAGAGAAGAGTAAATTTCTGCCAATTATGAAGCACTGCAATACTAAGCACAAAGGCACTGTGCTGAGTTCTTTTTTCTTAAGATTTTATTTATTTGAGAGAGTGTGGAAGCAAGAGAGAGCACAGAGGGAGAGGGAGAAGCAGACTCGCCACTGAGTGGATCCTGGGGCTTGATCCAGGACCCTGCGATCATGACCTGAGCCAAAGGTAGACGCTTAACTGACTAAGCCACCCAGGCGCCCCGTTGCGGAGTTATTTTCTAGTCAATTTTCTTTTCAAATACTTACAGACATTTTTTTCATTTAGTGTGAATTTACTTATAAGATTTCCAAAATCATACAGAGGGTTTATTGTTATTTCATGATCACCAGGTAAAAGAGCAGGGATTTTAGTATTTGTTTTCTCTGATTGATAACAAGAATGAGACCTGCAACAGAAAAAAAAAATTTTAATTAGCAGATAAAATTAATAGTGCAACTTTCACAAAAACATGATTAACACAAAATGTGGTGGAAAGTATGTTCTTCCGTACAAAAACATGATAGGTTATACTGCATCTAAAGACTGAAAAAAGAGAGGGTAATGGTAAGTGCATCAGTGTGGAGGATGAATAACCAGACTGTACCAGAGAGTCGAGTGATAAGCAGAGATGATTATTTCAAGAAGCTTGGGATCTTAGCATGCCCTTCAAACTCCCACCAACCTTCCCTCGGCAGCCTTACCTGGTGCCGCACACCCCTGCCCCGCTACAGCCCTGCCCTTCTATCCAAGACCATCATGAGGTCTCAGGCTGAGATGGTGCCTCAGATACTGAGGACAGGAATGAAACTGGCTGCTTGTGACCCTCAAACACACCCTCAATCTGTCCGCAGCTCCTCTGTTTTGGTCTAATGTTCAATGTGAACAACACTTTCTCTTCCCCTCTGCTTTCAAAACTCTTCCAGTTCCCCACCCATATCTCTTGGACAAAAGTCGGTTTTCTCCCCTTGGTTCCACAGCCCTTTGAACCTTCACAGAGCACATTCACATTCTTTTTATTGTCCTTCATGTACATTTCTAACTTCCCATGCCAAATGGAGCTCAAGCAGAGGGACTCGGCAGTGCCTCATGTGACCCTGCCCAGCACCCCACCTCTTTACGTCTACTCCGGACTCCGACTTAGACAGGTTGGCTCACCTCCTGTCACCCTCACAGGGGGAGGCTTCCTTAGGTGCCAGTAACACAAAACCACTTGAATTTGCTAAATCATGCCATTTTGTAAGTTCATGCCATGGAACCCATATTCTTTCAGGCTGGAATGTCCTTCTGTCCTTTTTCTGAGAAACTGGGTCTTCACACTCCACAGTCACACCTTGGACAGCCTCTCTGGGGCCCCACACTCCTCAGTCAATGCCCCCTCAGCCCTTCACATATAATTTCCGTCAGCACTTAACTCATGGTGATTTGTTTCTGTGAACTCCTGCAGAGCCAGAACAACTTCCTCTCTGTGTGGCCTGAGGTAGTCATTCATGCTATTTACCAAATGTTTCAGGTTCTCCCATTCTGGATTCACAGCAGGACTGTACTTCCTGCTGAAGCAAGGCAGGCGATGGGACTTTATTTGCAGAGAAATGTGAGTGAAATTCACATCTGTCCCTTCCAGAAGAAAGCTCTGGAAGCCAGTGTAGGCTGTGCTCCCTTCTCCTGTCTTCATGCACTGGAGGGTGAGGGACCCCTAGGTTTGGGGCCCCAAGGAGAGACTGGGGGCAGAGATGCTAGCTGACCCAAAATGGACACAGAACACAAGCAGGAAATAATCCTTTATTTTCACAGCAGAAAATAAGGAAATAGGATTTTAGGGCTGTTTCTGCAACACAACCAAGCTCCTCCTGGTTGACAAACATACCACAAAGCTTAGGCTAACACTCAATAAACCTATACCAAACAGGAAAACAACACCCAAGTAACATTTAAATGCACACTTATGTCCATTTACATGAGGGCCACCCATCAGCAAAAGGGGACTTGGAGCTGCCCTGCTCAACAACTCAGGTGTTGCCGAACCACTCAGAGCCCTGCTGGAATCGGGGAAAGGGAAGAGAATGTTCCAGTTTGCAGAGAGCCCAAAGGCCTCACCTCTAGGCTTTGGAGCTTGTGGCCCTCTCCCAGATTACCTGAGAGGGGAAGGTGGGGTGACAGAACCTGTTGCTAGCCTCCTAATGTCCTTTCCCCCTTTCCCCTAATAACTCAAACTCACGGTTTATCCAGGCACACTGCCCCGTCTCTTATGCAAATAGGCTTTATTATTCGACTAAATTCTGCCAATGAGATGCAAGCAGAGGTGTTGTGTGGGACTTCTTAGAGGTCTCTTTAAAGAAAACTTTTCAGGGTTTTTAAAGAAAGCATCCTTTTCGGGGCACCTGGGTGGCTCAGTCGTTAAGCATCTGCCTTTGGCTCAGTTCATGATCCCTGGGTCCTGGGATCGGGTCCTGGGATCGGGTCCTGGGATTGAGCCCTGCATCAGGCTCCCTGCTCGGTGGGAAGCCTGCTTCTCCCTCTCCTGCTCCCCCTGCTTGTGTTCCCTCTCTCTGTGTCTCTCTCTGTCAAATAAATAAAATCTTTAAGAAAAAAAAAAAAGCATCCTTTTCCTCACTGCTTTCTGGAATGCAGACATAACAGCCACTCCTCAAGCATCCTTGAACCATGAGATCACATGCTAAAGCTGGCAAAGCACCATGATAGAGAGGAACCTGGGTCTCTCATCAACAACCATGCCAGCCTTGAACTGCCTATTCCAGACCTGACGTATTCTGTTAGGCAGAGTCAAAACTTGAACCCAATTGATCTAGACAGATGTTGGTTTGGGACAGACCAGTAAAACTTCCCTATAGATCAGAATCCACAGCATATGAAAGGGGTGTCCTATACAATATTCATATAACACAAAGTTTTGGCCAGGAAAAGGGTTTGTTTCCCTTGATATAAGATTCAGATTTTTTAGGAAATAGACAGCTAAGATTTAAAATTTCATTAAAAAATTTCTAGAATCAAATCTCTATGCTCTAATATTAAAGACCTTTAGGTTATAGCTATTCATTAACCAAAGTATTTCTATTACCTGTTTTCGATGCAAACTTCATAAACAGTACCACGGCCTGCTCCAGAGGGTGCTTTCCAAGAACAGTCCCACACTTGCAAATTGTTAGTTATACACTTCAAATCACGAGGAGCCCCTGGAGAAGGAAACACACACACACACACACACACACAGAACATGCTTAATAATTTAACGGCACCATGAAAGGCCAACATATCAAACCACCTTTAGTCATGAGTATGAGCATATGCGCCTGCACAGAATCCACGTTCTTTGTGCAGGGATGAGCCTGCAGTCACAGAAGGGGCTGGTTTTCTATTTCTTTTTGTAGCTGTGGATTAAAAAATGAGAGGAAACCAATGGAAGTAAGCCAACCACTAGACCACTTAGGGACCGAGCCTCCATCAAAGTTCCACCTTCAGCCACTAAGATAAATGGAGGGAGTCAAGGAGGAGACCCAGAGAGGGCCTGGAAGAATTTTATCTACAATAGGCCCATTTGCCCCCATTCCTCCCCCCGAATAAAGTAACTCTAAGTAAAAATTACGTGTTTCCCATGCCACAAACACAGCTTCTAAGCATTCCTAGCCACACTGTCCCACTGCCTGTTACCAGACTGCCACCTACACAGAAACCCCACAGCCAATCTTTAAATTTGTATGAAGCAGGGGTACCTGGGTGGCTCAGTCAGCTAAGAGTCTGCCTTTGGCTTGGCTCGGGGGTCCTGGGATCTAGCCCTGTGCTGGGCTCTCTGCTCAGCAGGGAGTCTGCTTCTCCCTCTGCCCGCACCCCTGCCACAGTCTCTCTCTTTCTCTCTCAAAAATAAATAAAATCTTTAAAAATATTTTTATGAAGCATATTATATTTAAATAGTAATGAACTCACACAAGTCTCTGAAAAGTATGTCTTCTGTGTAGGCCTAAACAACTGACAAGTAACGAATAACTTAGAAGACTGTAATCCTAATAGTATTTATTCATACCTATAAAACAATACTAGGTCACAGAATACATTCTCACCATATAATGAAAAACTGTCATGCTAAAAAGAGAATGAAAAGAAAGGAGGAGGGGTACAAGAGGGAGAACAAAAGGAAAAAGTTAAGGAGGAGAGGGAAGAAGGGAGGAAATAGAGCAATTAGACTGTAAAAAAAGGTTATTCCATCTCAGACTCTCTCTATAAATGTCTCTGAAAAGGTTTTAATTTTTACATGACTGGCATGACATTTACAGTAGCAATAAATTACAAAGCTACTTATACATGACAGAAAACAAAAACATTAGAAGCACTCACATTAGAAATCATCAGTAACCATACTAAAGTTATTTAACAGTGATCTCGGGGGAAAAGAGAAGATCTGTTTAATTATGGAAATAATATAAAAACTCAGAGGCAGAAGGATGATAATGTTCTTTATAGAAATAAGCTAGGTAATAACATCTACACAAACATTCTTAATATATTTAAAGAAGATGAACACAACATATTATTAAAGAAAGAGATTTAGATTTCATTTATATGACATTCGGAAAAGCAAAATTATAGACAGAAACTAGGCCAGTGCTGGCTTGCGGTAGGGAGAGAGGAGCTGAGTACAGAGGAGCAAAGGGAATTTTCTGGAGTGGGGAGTGTTCTGTATCTTGATTGTGCTGGTAGTTACATGACTGTACACATTTGTCAAAACTCACAGAATTTTATCCCAAACAGGTGAACTGTATTGTATGTAAATTATACTTTTTTTTTTTTTTCCTGGGGAAAGACTATTCATGGGCCTTTTTAAAAGAGAACAAAAGTACACAGGAAAAAAAATGACAAAGAAATGGATTTTTTTTTTAAAGATTTTATTTATTTATTTGACACAGAGAGAGCAAGAGACAGAGAAGACAGAGAGCAAGCAAAAGCAGGGGGAATGGCAGGCAGAGGGAGAAGTAGGCTCTCCACTGAGCAGGGAGCCTGATATGGGGCTCCATCCCAGGACCCCGGGATCATGACTCAAGCTGAAGGCAGCCGCTTAACTGACTGAGCCACCCAGGCGCCCCAAAATGGGGTTTTAACCATAAAAACCTGAAGGAAAGGTTCGATAAAGACACAAGATCACCTCATAATCAAAATAGTAATAGCAAAAAAACAGCAACGGCATTGCAATCAGTTCATTCTCTAAGGCTCAGATGCACTTACCCCTTTTCTGGCTATTTACTTGGTTCATTAAGTACAGGAGAATACATGTTAATAAGAGCCACTGTAAATCTGAAGTCATCCCCATTCTTTTACTATCCACCATCCAGGACGGTCTTCTCAAACGTAAGGAAAGGTTCATCATCATCCGTACAAAGTAGTCAGTCCTAGATGAGGAGAAGAACTTTCAAATGGTGTTCAAAGTGCTGCAAAGAGACCTCTTGCACTATGCACAACAACATGGAAAGTGGATACCCGCAAATGCACATACTGTACGTTAGTAACTCTGTAGACTCTAGACTCAAGCTGCCTTGGCTTTAGGAGATGTGAAGAATCAAACGCAACTGTTGCTTTAGGGATCCATTATAGGATAAGTTTTCAAATGACAGGCTTCAAGTTCAAGATTATAACCAAACACATATTTCTCAACACTCCATTCCAATACTTCTACTACAGTATAGAAAAGGAGTGAATGAAACTGAAGTTTTGACAACTTTCAATGATATATGGAACATTTTTAATTTCAATTAATATAGTCATTTATGACAAGTAATATTTTTCTTTTTCATTTACATTGTGATAAAAGTTTCTATTTCATGTAAATTTAAATGAAGAAAAAATTAGGATAAATAACAGTATAGGGAGTCCACAGATGTGGCAAAAATAGGGCCCAATACACACAAATGACTCAAGTGCAACAAACACTACAACAACTATAACAGAAAAGGGACCACTGCCTTATAGATAAGAGTTGTCTACACACATGGGCGAGCAGGGACTGAAGCCGGTGCGCTGTGGAGAGGGGGCCGCAACGAAGGCAGGCACTGTTCAGCCTAAGAGCTCCTGAGACACTTGTCAGCAAATGACCAGAGAGAGCCTACCAAGTGCCGGGTCCCCATCCAGGCACTGGGGGTGCACACTGAACCAAAGTCCCGGCCCTCCAGGAGCCTGGAATCTAGGTGGGAGATACATATACATAAACTACTAAGAAATTTATGATCTTGATATGTGCTTTAAAAACCAGAAGAAGTCGATGTGTGTGATTCAAAGTGTCACCTGAGCTGAGTCCTGACTAATGAGAAGATGGCGAGGAGCAAAGAACAGCAGCAGCAAACAAAAAGGACAAGCTTACTAGGTTCAAAGGTCAGGAGGAGCAGCCCAGCCCAGACCCTCCTGGTCAGGCCATGAAGGCCTCCAGGCCATGGAAAGGATTCGGAGTTTAAAACACAACAGTGGATTCTTCTCTCAACCATGTTAATCAGGGGGGGATCCATATCTGATCAGCCCTTTGGAAGATTTCTCTAGCTGCTACATGGAAGGTGGACTCTAGGGAAATGGAGTAGAGGTAGGGAAACCAGAGTCCAGGTGAGATCACCAGTGGTGAGGACTAGGGTTCTAAAAGCAGAGGTGGAAGAGATGGTCAGATTCAGGATCTGTTCTAGAGATGGAGGGTCTTCCCAATGCACTAGAGGCAGGGCAGTGTGGTGATTTAAGAACATGGACTGGACATCTGGGCTTTTTCCATATTTTGGCTATTGTGGACATTGCCGCTATAAACATCGGGGTGTGTGTGCCCATTTGAATTACTATTTTTGTATCATGTGGATAAATACCTAGTAGTGCAATTGCTGGGTCGTAGGGTAGCTCTATTTTTAGCTTTCTGAGGAACCTCCATACTGTTTTCCAGAGTGGCTGCACCAGCTTACATTCCCTCCAACAGGTGGGTGGAACTAGAGGGTATTATGCTAAGTGAAAAGAAGTCAGGCAGAGAAAGACAAATACCATATGATTTCACTCATATGTGGAATTTAAGAAACAAAACAGATGAACATAGAGTAAGGAAAGGAAAAAAAAAGTAACATAAAAACAGAGAGGGAGGCAAACCGTAAGAGACTTTTAACTATGGGAAAAAAACTGAGGGTTTCTGGAGGGGAGGTGGGTAAGGGGATGGGGTAAATGGGTGATGGGCATTAAGGTGGGCACTTGTTACAATGAGCATTGGGTGTTATATGCAACTGATGCATCACTAAATTCTGTGAAACCAATAATACAATATATGTTAACTATATATGCTAACTTGAATTTAAATAAAATCTAAAACAAAACAAAAATGGACTGGGGCTGAATCCTAGCTTTGCTACTCGTTATGTGGCCTTAATCTCCCTGTGCCTCAATTTCTTCATCTGTAAAGTGGGGATGATAACTATATTTCCCATAAGTTTGTTGTAAAGATTAAAAGAGTAAATACGTGTAAAGGACTTAGCAGAGTGCCACACACGTAGTAAATGGTGTAAGTGTATTTAGTGTGTTGTGGGAGATACAGGGAGAGGACAGGAAGCAAAGATGGCTACAGATTTGGTGGAAACATAACAATGGATGGGTGGTGGTGCCACTTAAATCCTCTCTGGGTACATAAAGAGGGAGGCAGTGATTTACTGTTTATAGGCTGTTTATAGATGTTCTGTTTATATCAGAGATCTGTTTCAGGACCTCAACCTTGTCATGTTCCTACTTCCAAAACAGAAACGGAGGCATTCCCTACAGAATGTAAAAGAACTACCCAGGAAATGAGAACAGCTAACAAAGACACAAGTGTCCAAGAGGAAAGGCTTCCACATCTGACACTGAGGGCTTCCTCAGAGTAATGATGTTCCCATCCGCTCCAGCTGAATGAGGCCCGCCAGCTGACAAGTCCCCCCAAGGCACTGAGAACTCCTTGTCAGACTTCATAGTGCCTCATTTTTATACTGGAACAGACAACCAAGGATCATAAAACATATAAAGCAAAGCCTAAAACAATAAAAAGAAATTCAGAATAAACAGGATCCCTAGAAGGAAAATAAAAATTACTCCCAGAGAGAAAAGGGATGATGCAGAAAAGAGGAAAACTAAAAAACAGAAAAACCGTCTCTAAACAGTATTCTAGAGTGAATATGGCACAGCCCTGAAAACTAGAAAAGGATGAGGGCGCCTGGGGGGCTCAGTCGTTAAGCGTCTGCCTTCGACTCAGGTCATGATCCCGGGGTCCTGGAATCCAGCCCTGCATTGGGCTCCCTGCTCAGTGGGAAGCCCGCTTCTCCCTCTCCCTCTGCCTCTCCCCCTGCTTGTGCTCTGTTTCTCTCTCAAATAAATAAAATCTTAAAAAAAAAAAAAAAACTAGAAGAAGAGGCAATGAAAGGAATAATCAGAAATAAAAATAGCTCTTACAAGTCAAATGTATTGGCTGATATTGAAATTTTTTTAAAGACATAAAATACTGAGCAATTTTTCAGGGGGAAAAAAAAGACAAAAACAGAACATGTGAGAAGAGATGTAAGAACAGGCACTTGACAGAGGAAAAAAGATCCAACATCTAAATAACTGGAGTCCAAAAAGATAATTCAGAAAACACTTTTCTTAGCAAAAGCAGATGGCAAGATCTCTTCTTGGCTCTTGCTGAGTACTGTCAAAAACTCAGGCGACAAATCTCGAGTAGCTTATATAATTACAACCAAAACAGACACCGGGCACAGACACACATTTCAAAAGCGTTCAACTATTTTCTGGCCAAATGACTCCCTAACTTCCGGTGTCCCTGAGCTTACACAGTAGAATGAAAATGTATTCATGGAATGTCTGAAATGCCAGCTGCTAAAGTTATAGAATTCCATAGCATGTGCAGGAATAACTGAATAAAGGAGCCCCGAACGTGACCAAACCGTAACTGAAACAATCACAAACCATATTCATTGACTGGCTGAACATCATCTTGAAATGAAAACAGTCCCTCACTACAAGTTTGGAACTTGTTCCAGGAAAGAGATGCGTGTCCCATGAAGTAGCAAGATGGGTCTGGAGGCCGCCGCACTCTGGACCAGGTCCAGTGGACGCCGACTCTCATCCTGGCTCCACGGCTAATGAGCAGTGTGACTGAGACAAATCACTTGATCCCTCCCGGCCTCAGGCTCAGGAGTGGCAGCACGGGGGCCAACTCTGCTCAGGGCCCACAGGACACACTTCCCAAGGGTAAGGTATAATACTGTGCTCCTGCTGGCGGACCACGAGCAAGCAGGCAGACCAGTACAAGGTCAGCGCCAGCAGCAGGCGCTGATCAAGGACACCACTGAGGTCAGCGGTGGCAGGCCAAGGTGCAGGGTGTGCTCGGGAACAGGAGGGTCAATGACAGCATCACCAACACCTGCTTAATTGAACACAGTCAGGATGAGAAAGAAAACTCTTCTGTCGTTAACATTTATGTAGAAAACAATGGTGAGCGAAGTCACTTAGGCCACATATTATGTTTGTAATAGATCCGACTTCTCTACTAAGCAAAAATTTCAAATGGACTCGAGGCCAGAACAGGACACGAACAGAGCTTTCTAACGTACTTTAAGGGAAAAAGGACACGTGAAACTTGTTTCTGTTCCCTTCCAACAGAAACACTGCCAGATTTTACTTTTTTTCCCCAATAAGTGATGCCTTGTTCCTACAGGAGTGCACATTTTTAGAGAGTTTCCGAAATTAGGATCACTGTCACTTGCTGCAGCAGCAGGTGCAAATGCACATACCTGGAAGGCGAAACAGGTGACTAACTCTCCAGAGGCAGGTGCAAACTGGAGCTCGCCAGCCTAACCTAGAGGGGGCAGCAGTGGGCCTTGTTTTGCCAGATTTTCTGACTTTTCGAGCCCAGGTAGAAACCTGGGAATTTATATGAAAAACTCAAATTTGTAAATGTTAAGGAACTAATTTGTAGTTTTTAAATTTCTAAATTCTAAAAATTTTAAATATTCTAAATTTGCCAAACAAAATATGTCTTCAGACTATCCCACCCGCGGGCCACCAGTCTGTATCCTATGCAATATAACTATCTTAAAGGATTAAAAAAATGTCAACAAACCTTCTCTTTAAGGAAACTGATCAAGCAGAATCAATTTATAAAATTGTTGCAATGGAAAGAAAAAAAAAATCTGTTCTTTGCTTGTTTTATTTCTTTATGTTGTATCCCGAGCTCAGTCTTAGGGTGTCGGGAAGACAGGCCAACCCCGCGTGCAGAGCTTTCTGTCCCCTCTTGTGAAAACGGAACATCACAAATGCTTTACTTTCTCCTCAGCCTTGAACACTCTGGTTCCATACGTGAGGTTTCGGTCCTTTCTGCCCAGGATAATTAGTAAAGAGAGCTGAAAGAGCA